TTTGAGTGACTCTATAGCTTAATTTTGTTTATTTTTTTAAAACAAATAATTTAACATTCCATTTTGTCACTACCAAAACAATCATAACACTACTGAAAATTTCCCAAATGTTTCGGTAGTGACTGTTTTGGTATTAACAGTTTTAGCTTTTTTTGAGTAGAACTCAAAAAACACAAGCCAGTACATGACCAGCAAACACAGCTTTGAACAGTTGTACACTGATTTTCCGATTTTGGGACACATTTATTTCAAAACAATGGGATCTAACTGCTAACCATGTGGCCATGAGGGACAGGGATACAGTCTCGCTTCCTGCTCTAAAATGCAGGTGTGTGGCATAAGGCTCCACCTACGGACTAACACTCTTTTTTGTTTTGGCAGTGACATGATGTAGGACAGCATTTTTGAATAAAGTTATATTTCTTTTTAAAAAGATAAAATTATGATTGAATCTTTAAAAAAAAATGGAAAAAAAGTGGAAAAGATGCAAAAAAAATAAGTATTATTTTCACAAGTTGAAATTTAAGGATTTGGGACAGACACGTCAAAAGAAGATGCTTTTGTATGTATTTTGTTTATTACTATTAATAAATGTTTAGGGTTTAAATTGATCATAATACAATCTTTGTAAGTGCCTGAAGTCTGTTTTAAGGTCTGTTTAAGGTCTATATGTTTTATGTTAAAATAAGTTAACACATCCTCTACAGAGAATAAACTTATAAAAGGATGAAAAATGTGGCTTGTGGAAATGTTTTGGCATATATATATATAATTTTATTTTTGTCTGGTATGTTAAACCCATCAAATAAATAGAAATTGTTCACTGAAAATTGCGGAAACATGCTATATTCAAGGCTGTTTCCTTTAGAGGATGTGTACTTATTTTCGCTTAAAAATAACATCACACCACTGTGCAATATGCAATATATACAATGCTCTTGGAACAAAACCTTGTATCTACATTTTGGATGTTTTTATTTAATTTAAAAAAACAACAACTGTCATTGACACTTTCATTTCATGACAAACACACCAACAGAAACAGTTCAAAATCATAGAAAAAAATCTCATTACATCAAATTACATTAAAGTTAAGAAAGTTTTTTCCATCTCTTTGTAAAGTTACTTGGATGTTGGATGTTCTGATGGCAAGGACTAAATTAGGTGTATATATATATATATATATATATATATATATATATATATATATATATATATATATATATATATATTATTACTTAAGAGTGCTATAGTTAGAACAGACAAATCTAATTTTCAACTCAATAGAGACAACAAACACTTATTGTATATATTAGTAAAGAATGACATATTATTGTCTGAGAAATATTAGAATTTTACTAAAAGAATGTTTTTAGTATTGGCTTTTGATGGAATATAAGTAGGAGCTTTTGGGCAATACAGTACTATACCCATCACAGCTGAAAATCAAATGGAAAAGAGAAAAGTAACTCCACTGATAATGCTGAAGGCTTAATGGTATGAGTGCAGGTTCAGCAGATGCTGTGGGCCTCTTTTCACATGTCGCTGAGGTTCTGGGTGCTGAACGGAGGTGAAACATTTCCACTGCTTATCAGAACCTCAGCTGTCAGCAGTGGACGTTTTTTGGACAATCGGCCTGATTCAGCTCAGAGTGAGGGATTTCCTGCCTGTGCGGGTGAGAAATGTGGCGCTAGTCCAGGATACAGTCCAGCCTAAAGATCCAGCCTGTCAACACACTGCTGTTAGCTAAAGCTTCTTACACACTCTTACACACTCGCTCTCAGCCTGCCCAGCAAGGCCTACTCCATTACCCTCCAGAGCCCCCCAAAAACACACACACACACTCTCTCTCGAGTGGCTACGGCTCAGTGTTTGCTCAAAGGCTCCCCGTCCTACAGCCTCTGGAGAGGAATTCCACTGACCGCCACGGCCTGAAACACAGCACTAAAGAGAATCCACACCAAACCGCAGACTGAAGACTAAACCGACGGACAGCTTTCCAGATCTGGAGGAAGTGTTTATTTTTATAAGATTAGTTCACTGAAAAATGAAATACACAGATTTCACCTTTACCTATAAGTAATCAATTAGCCAAGACATGTTTTAAAAAACATTAAAATTCAGGCTTCAAGGTGGCTGCTGCTATTTTCAGATCATGTTTTCAGCTGTGCTCCATACTTTTGTTCATGTTTATAGATAACAGTGTGTCCTACAGTGTCAGAAACCATGCAAGCACGTCTATTTGAAATTACTTAAGAACTCCACACGGTCTGAGGCGAGTGTGTGTTGATTTAGACTCACAGAACACACTTCTGCACTGTTAATGCACAACCACTATTGATTTGCCAAATTGAGCATGTTGGGGAAAAAAGAAAACAAAATGTGGCCTGTGCAAAAGATACGGCACATTTAATATTCTATGTTTTTTATGTTAATCTCTGCAAATAAATAGAAATTGTGCACTAAAGTTTGCACACAAACAATCCAATTACCAGCACACAATCAGTTTTTGCATACTGGATTCAGACCAGAATTTTGGTTGTATTAACAAACTATAGTAAGATGTTCCTCAGAGTTAGAAGATCCTCAGATTTCAACAGACAAGAAACTTTCTCTCCCTCAGATTAGTGGAAATACAACAGTAAATGGGTAAATTAAATGTGAATTTATTTAAAAACAGGCCAAAGAAACTAAATGCCTGGGTATCTGAGTTGCAGAGGCAGAAATGCACATCTCTCTCTTTCTTTTACTCTTCAGTTGCTCTTTGTTCTGTTGTTGTTGTTGTATGCTTGTGCATGTGCTTGTTTGTGTTGTGAGCAGAGCTCGATTTGAAGGAGATACAAGGAGAGACCATCCCACCAGTTTTTAAAAATTCTTGTTAAACACTCCCTTTTCCGAAAAGGCTTTTGTTGCAGTGCTAAAAACATTAAAAATATGGTACACCTACAGTTCAAAACCACCTCTACACAACCCTCCCTTGAGCATTTTTTAGTTTGACCACTGTTTGTGAGTGAAAGTGCTGGCAAAGAGTTAAGTTAAATACAGCAGCATTAGTCATAAAAGTAATTTATTTTAATGAACGTTATAAAAGGTTCAGTCTTACTTCCATTGCAAAAAAACGTGATACAAAGAGATGTAACAAATGTTTTGGTCATCAGATCCAGATCAGATCTTCACCTCTATCTGCCCCGAGATATCCCACAATTAATCTAAAATCTCCCAGATTTGCATGCTGTTAAAACAGAAGGTCGTGTGCCATGGAGTCTACATTCACACATTTACATCTTTTCACACAGCTGCAACCACCAGACACGACACAAAAAAAAACATCAGAGCACTACAGACAAAACAAGCTGGACTTTTACTCTCCCACTAAACATGGCTATTAGTGCTAAAGACAGTCCCTTTAGACACAAAAAACCCTGCTGTGTTTTTGGACGAAAATAAACCGTGTTGCCCACAGAATGGAAGCAGAAAAAAACTAGTCACAGTTACGCCGTATCAGATTACAAAAGATAAAATGACAAAAAAAGGCATAGGTGCAAGAAACAATAGGGCGGGCTTAAATACCATTCCACTACTGACAAAAACAAGGTAAAAAAAAAACTTTTAAAAAGCTTTACTTAAATTTTTTAATAAAATATTTTTTTTTATTTTTTTACATTTTTAAAAAATTAATTAATTAACGCCTGACTGTGTAAGATCAGTACAATATAAATCCTAATAAAAACGCTGAAATTCAATGTTACTCAAATATGAACGAAGAGATTTTTTCCCTCAAGCATACTACAGAATGCGTTGTGCATTAAAAACTTGCTAAATGTTTTTACAAACTAAATGTGATTCACCAATAAAGACCAACAGGCCTCAAAAACAAGGTGACTGAGAACTAACAGAGGCAAACTGTAATATGAAAGATTTTATGGTCATATACAGTTGTACACATTTTGTTAATTTTCTAAGTGAAAATAAATTCACATTCTCCACAAAGAACAAACCAATATATGGTATTTACAGTGTATTACAGTTTACTTGCAGAATTTAACATATTAAAAAATGTGCCATATTTTTGCACAGTCCACATTTTATGATTTATTTTTCCCAATATGTTAAATTCAGCAAATAAACAGTAACTGTGCATTAAAATGTGCAGAAGTGTGTTCTCTGTACAGGATGTGTATTTATTTTCACTTCAACCAAACAAATCAACAAAACATAATTTGACCGGGGCACCCAGACTTTTGCATACAGCTGTAAATGGCCCAATGCAGAAACCTGATTTCAGAGAATTTTACTCAGTGATCTTTCTTAGTGTACTCTACAGAGTACAGACCTGTCAGAGAACCCATCACTGAAACTGAATTCTCTAGTGGATTAAGTATGTCAAAGTTGGCACATGTCAAAAATAAAATATCAGGCACTGAAAAATACTAAGCAGAACATAAATGCCATTTTTTTTCTGAACTTTTAGCAGGCATGTCATAGATACTGGCATATGTACATTTATATGTTTAAATTTAATAAAATGAACTAACCTTTAGATCTGCAGCAGGCTGTCACATGATGAGATGCATGAGGAGGCGTGGCCAAATGCTCCCCAGGTGCCTTAGTGTGCAGGTAAGACGCTTCTGTCACTCATTACAGCTCAGTCATCTCTCAAAGCCAGGCAGAACCTAAGCCCTGGAAAAATGCTGTTTACATGAACATCTTCACGTTGTGGATTTTGCTCGGGCGGTATTGGATTTGACAGGAGCACAGGAGCACTACATGTTATGGACATTACAGAGCAATCCAACTTGAATTTCTGAATGAGTATCGTAAGTTCAGTTACCATGGCTGCTATTTATCACTCATTAAAATATTTGCTGCTCCCCAACCAGGCAGAAACTTGCTGCTCCTGATCTGTACAAAGCGAAACTAAGCTCTCACATTTGCTAAAAACAGAGGTACCAGATAGCAGACACACCTTTGTGGCAGGAATTGCTAGACAAAACAGAAAGATGCCTGTGGTTAAGGTGGAGAAAGAATCTCTGTCAAATGACCCTCAAACAGCTCTTCCAGCAACTGACCCTCAGACAGCCGACCCCCCCAGAGGTCGTAGGAGGAAGAGGCCCTTGCAGAGGGGCAAACCTCCTTACAGCTACATCGCCCTCATCTCCATGGCTATCGCAAATTCCCCAGACCGCAAGCTGACCCTGGGCGGCATCTACAAGTTCATCACAGAGCGGTTCCCCTTCTACCGGGACAACTCCAAGAAGTGGCAGAACTCCATCCGCCACAACTTGACGCTCAACGACTGCTTCGTGAAGATACCTCGGGAACCTGGGAGGCCGGGAAAAGGCAACTACTGGGCTCTAGACCCCAATGCAGAGGACATGTTTGAGAGTGGAAGCTTCCTAAGACGCCGCAAGCGGTTCAAGCGCTGCGATTTCACCACTTATTCCTCCTACGTTCATGACTCACCTGTATTTTCGCAAGTCCAGATAACTTGTCCCACTTACGCCGGGTCCATCTACCCAAGCAATCCATATGGGGCGCAGCTTTCCTCACCCTACTATCCTCCTTCTTCTTGCACCTTCGGCTCAGCCCAGTCCAGGGTCTTCAGCATCAACACCCTCATTGGATCCCATGGTGGTCTGGCCCAAAGTCCAGAGATTCAGAGTCAACAGTCTTGCCGAAGTTTCAGCCCCAACGATGGCAGTCCAGGGTTCCAAGTCCAGCCGTGCAATGGATCCGCGGTGCTTTCACGCCGGTCCACTTCCTCAGGTCACACAGGGTTCACGTACCCTAATCCTGGGTCACACGGATACACCCAAGCTCAGGGACCATATGCCCAGAGCAGTGGCCAAGGGTACGCTCCCACTGGACGACTAGGGGTCACCGGGTCACCCCCAATGGCTGGAGATGCGGTCAGTGACCCATATGGTAGAGCATCCCCTGGACAGCTTGGATCTTTTGGCCAATACAACAACACCTGCATGTCAGGCAGCTCGGGAGGATACCTTAGACACCCGACTTATCCACCTAGCATGGACAGGTTTGTGTCTGCAATTTAAAATCATGCTGAACTGTGAAGTTGCTAATAAAACACTGCTGCCTGTGATGGTACCATGATGCCCCATGTGGTTAAGAAATTATTAAAAGGACATTCAACATGGTTATTCATGTGAAACAATGGACAATAATGACCATTCCTGAGGTGATGAAAATAAATATTTTGCTGCACGTGGTAAAGCCCTGCATGTGTGAATAACGCAGTCTAAAGAATTATTTAACATCCTTCTGCACCACAAAATGTTACTTTTGTCAGATAATGAAAATCAATGGACTTCTTTCTTTAACTGTAGGTAAATAATTACTTAAGCACATTTTGCAGCATGGTTATTTTTGTCCAGTGATTAATGATGTTCTCAGTTGACCATTCCTGAGATGGTGGATGTAAATTTTTGTACCACGAAAAATGCAATTGTACAATATCTCAGGTCAAATGAATTTTTGAAATTTGAACATCCATCATAACACCTCACTCGCGTACTCTGAAAATAAGCTTTCGATCATATTTGCTAGACCAAGTCTGGAAACAGAAAGAGCGTTAAAAGAACACAAAGCTCATGTTGATTATGTAAGTGAGAACAAGACACTTTAGATGTCACTGTTTTTAATCTTCATGTTGCTGTTGTGAAATGTGTTTAGGTGTGTTTCTGTACAGTCACTGTTTTGTTGCTTTCTACAAAAAGAAACAATTTTCACTGCTGATGGTGTATTATTTTGTGCAGTGTTTTTTGTCTAAGATTTTGTGGAAAACAGTTCACTGATGAAACCCTCAGTATGTTGAGAGCGAAATGCAAAAGTGTCATTTGAGGAAAGCCTTCGAAATTACAGCATTTGGGGTTCAAATCTTACAGGAGAATCATACTAAATCCTCTTGCTAACTGTCATGTTTCAGACCATGATTAACAAATTTCAACCATAACATGCTGAGATTCACGATTCAAAAGGTTTGAAATAAGATACTGAGATTCAACATTTGAATTCAAAACAAAGAATACATTCAAGTCATAAAAGATGAACAGGTTTCATACACACTCACAGACACATGCCTTTGGTTTTACATGAGCGATACTATCTAAGGTGACACATCACAGACTAAAAATGGAAAATGTTAAGAAGCATCAAAAATGCCTCCAAGGCAAAGACTCTAGACGGACAGATAATGTAAGAAAACCCACACACAATGGAAAGTAGAGCTCCTTTCACTCGGCTTCATTGTTCAGTCTTCGAAACCTCTTTCAGCTCAGTTGGATCTGAAGTGTTTCTTACACAACTCAGTGATCACGTCTCACTCTGCTGCCACAGAACTTAGAGACAAAACTCGCCTAAACACATAAAGCACTCCTGGAAAATGAGAAGACTGGAAATCTTTTAAACTAATAATGTAATACTCCTATACATTGTGATTCAGTGAAGTATTTTGCAAAATATTTTGAAGACTTTTTAAAGAATCTTAAAGAACTTTTATAAATTCACTATATTGCAAACATAAATTAGCATGACTACATGTTTATTGTCTAATCACACAGATTTCTCATTCAAATGCAAGGAATGCACGGATGACAGAAAACACTACTACAAAAATTCTATCTGAGAAAATATAACTTTTTGCACTAGTTGTACTTTTATGTTCCCCATGCTGTATCACACTGTACACACCACCGTGTACCGTGTACCTGTTTGTGTACACGGTACACAAACAGGTACTTAAAGGTACCACTACACACAACTGTGATTGACAGGTAGGGGCTCATTTTTAGGTTCTCACCATACACCATGTTTGAGAGACACTTAAAAAAAAGACAAAAGAAACCCAAAACATATCTTTCCTTGGTTGTTTAAGTGATTCCTCATATTTGTTGCTGTCAGTTCTGACAGATGAGTTCAGCTTAAACACACATTGTGTGTCTATCTGTTGCAGCAAATTAACTGACATATCTGTGACTCAACCACAGATACATGTGTCAGTTTGTGAGACTGAGGTGATAAAAAGGCATAAAAAAGACCAAAGAACATGGCCTAAATGTGACCAATATAACAGTTGGCTGATAATTTCAACTGTCTGACAACCTGCGGCTCGTATTGGTAACGATATAATGGCCAACACCATCATGGTTAATATATGACAAAAACATGTCAAGTATATTCAGATCTCGCCTTTAGCATGAGAGTTACAACAATTTTCTATTTAGAAATATATGAGAAAAATAAGTAGGTAGTTGACAGAAACCAAATTCTGAGTAGCTCCATCCGCAGTACTACAATACTTATATGTATAAATGTGAGTTTCTGCTGTTTGAGTTTAAAAAGTGTGACCAATATATCAGTCAGTAAAGCACGGTTTAAAACTACTGGAGTATAAAATTTAAAATAATCTAAGATAAAAATAGAAATTTATATCAGTTATCATCAGTCAATTGTAATTTTAACTGCTAAAAATTGGTTTTGGTCACAAACATTTCACAATGAGCCAAAGTTGCAGGATCTGAATAAGCTGAGAGCGTATCAGCAGAGCGAGGCCAGAGGCTTTAACAGACAGACGGCTGAGGACTACACATCTTACAGCAGAAGAAATGAGAGAACACAGCAGCAGACACAACTCAAAAAGGTACTCAGTTTTGGGTAATGATTTCTTCAAAAATTCTATATTATACATATCAAAGCAAAAGATTTGGTCCAGGCCTCTTATTATGTTATACATACAGAGTGCAGAAGAAAAGTTCTTCATTAATAAAGACATGGTGGCTTGAACGTGCTCATAAACAAGACTTTTTGGGAAATCATAAGGCAGAAAAATGTCAAAACAGCTACTGACCGCCTGCAAAGCTATGGGATGTAACACAATTGAAAAAAAACATTTTTTGCACTTCAATCTGGATCAGCAAGAGAATCTTGCCAGTCAGTGGGGAGCACATCCCAAGGAGAAGCAGGAGCGAGGGAAACGGAGTCCTAGTTTGCTTGCTTTTATTTGATGCTCAACTGGCTTTTTCTTGATTTTTATAATTGTCAAATAAAAACTTTAGTGATTTGAAAACACATCTTCAGTTAAAAAAAAATAATAATAAATAAAAAAAAGTCACTCAAAGCATCATGATCCAGCACAAGCATGTTCAACTACCATGCAAGGACAAACCCATTTTCTATGTCATCATAACATCAAAAACAAGCACGCCAGATGCCTGAAAATATGCCTCCGTGATACTTATTAGCACTGCAGAATATTATCTGCAGTTGCAGTGTTTTGACGATGTTTGAGCGACATTTCACCTCAACACTGACAATGCAAACAGTGTTAATGGTTCTAGTCTATTTTCTGGGATTTAGCATAAGTGACATGCCACTTAAATCATGTAGAAAACCACGTTGTGACTTGTGAGTGAAAAAAATGGTTAAAAACGAACGTATTGTGGAACTTCTGGGTTAAAACTGGCGCTCAACAGCAGATCCAGAACCAAGAGAAAGCAGCAGCTAAATCGTACATTTGAGCAATTTGTATCTACAGCCTATTCAATACAATTATTTCACGAAAGCTGTCAGTTCAGAGTGTGTACTACACACGTACCAAAAAACACAAAAATTAGCATACCAAAAAGCAACACACATTCATCCAGAATTATGCATGTACTAAAAACAGTGATTTCCCTGTAATATTAATTAGTAGTCTACCATATTTTACCTAAATTGTTATCCATTAAAACATGAAAATATGACTGGAACTGGGTGATTCGCCATACTGTAGATTTAGAAACACAGCCCAGTTTGATTCAGCCTTACATCCAGCACTTGTGTACTCTTAATAAATAAATAAATACATAAATAAATAGAAAGAAAGAAAGAAAGAAAGAAAGAAAGAAAAAGAAAGAAAGTCCACTTTCTAGAGTTATTTACATCTACTTGCATAAACCACTGATTATCGTAACAACTAACTAGACATCTGGACAATTCTTCATAAAACAGCAGGTGATCTCTGGACACTGGATGGCGATTATGTAAACTTTTTATTTGAACCTTTTAGATACAGTTTTTACCAAGAAAAATGTGTTATACACACTAAGTTGTTCAGTTAAAATTAAGAAAATATCAACAGTTTTAAAGACATTTTAACAAATACATATAAAAAAGTGAATGTAGCAATTTGAAAACATTCAGCAACAAAATGATGCTCTCATCCAAGGAATTCAACCAGTTTCTGGAGTTCAGGACAATTTTTTACTACCTCCGGAACAGAAGACAGAGTCTAAAACAGACAAACAAAAAATCAGTTGGATAGAACAACGTTTCAATTTGCTTAACGACATTTGCTTGTCATCTAAACTTTCATCAGTGGACTTTTGACTTTTTTATCCAGCGGAACCCTGTTATTATTTTTAATTTATTATTATTATTATTATTATTATTATTAATAGCTGATGATGGCAATAGACCCTCACCCTTCTAACAGTCTCGATCATATCATCCAACAGATGCAGCTCACGCTCCAGTTTACTCTGATTCATGGCGTGTACCATTTGCTGGAGAAAGAGAAGAATGTCAGTTAAAATATTAACACACAAGACAGCTGAACCCAGAATAACGTTTTTATTTACACATCACCTACATAACATTATACTAATGTATACTAATGTATAATGTAATGGCTACATTTCATCAAACGAGCTAAGAAAATAACAACATTGATCTGTATGTTTCTCAAAGCTAATCTGAATAAACGTCCTGAACAAAGATGCAGTGCTTACGTGTCTCTTGGCTCGTTCAAGGAGTTTAGCTCTAGATTCTTCCACTTCCATGAGTTTAGCCTTTAGTTTTTCCATCTGCAGACAAAGCAAAATATTTGCAAAGCTGCAGAGCAGGAAATGGACCGAAGGCTAAGGGGGTTTATGGAAGAACATTTTACAGATAAAAGTAAAGCCGTTTACGTGATGCAATAACATTATGATGCAAAACCTGCAATGCAAACTGCTTTAAGATCTTAACTAGGTCTTTCACAGTTATTAGTCCCTTTTTCTCTCTATACTTCATTCATTTTCAGACTAATTTTAGAAACTCTTGTTTTATTTACTATGTTACTTATTTTCCTTTGACTTTCCTCTTCTATATGCAAGTGGATTATCTTATATCTAATCTTGTCAGAAATATTTTCTTTAGCCATTTCTGATGTGCATGAAAAAGAAATCTGCAGGGCAGATGAGGTGTGTTTGGATAGTTGCTTTTGTTAATGTTTTTGTGTCTTTGAAGGGGAACAGTGTCTCAACACCTTTTGCTAAGAGAACAAAGCTTTAACTGTGTAATATGGGAAGATGGAAGAGTTAAAGTGGCAGTAGAGTGCATAAAATTAAAGTGTGGACAAATGAAGTACTAATATAGATGATATTGTATTTAGTGGTGTAGGCTTTTGTAATTTTGTAATATTCTGTTAAATACACATTTTCTGCTCTTTTTCTGACAATAACAAATGAATAACTTGTACTTAATGGCCATTTTGACTAATAATTGAATAAATAAAAGGCTGGTCTCAGACTTTTGCATAGTACAGTAATTCAAAAGAGTTTGATAAACCTGAGAAAAACAGAATTAAAAAGCTACTTATCTGGACCGTAAGTGTTCATTTGCTCAGAAACCCACTAATATTACAATAAATCCAAATAATATAAATACATTAAATAATGATTTTACATTAGTCAGTGTGTTTGTTAAATCATTTCTAAACCTTTCCTTTCCTGGGGAGGACAAATCCAAGTCTGATGAAAACAACACATGTTCAAGTGAGGACCATTAAAATTGTGCGAAGCTGTCATGTCCTTTGTGGACAAATTTTGTGCTATACTACCATGTACTGTGGTCAGTTTGCATGTTAGGATAGCGATACAAGCGTACACATGCACACACGCGCACGCACAGGCAGACACACCTCTTTGAGTAGACGAATCCTGTCATCCAGTTCCTTAGTGCTGGTTGTTGATTGGTCACTTAATCGCGTTAGCTCTGCCCTCAAAGCCTGCACCTCCACCTGAGACTGCTGCAGTGCCCGACGTAACTCTGCCCCCTCCCGCCGCAGCTCCTGCCAAAAAAGAGTCAATAATTAAAATAAATAAATAAATAAAAAAATAAACATTAAAAGCAAATAAAAACACAAACATCAGCATAAATATAAATACAAATACAAAAATAACCTTCATTCTTAAGCATTCAACAGCTGTCTGAATTAATGAGTTTCTTGAGGTTGCAGATGAAAGGTGTTTAATGTGGAGCTATTTAGAGGTCAATCTGGAGGTTATGCAGAGAGCATTAGGGTAGAGACGTGTTGTGGGCTGAATGAGGAGTGTTGGTGTACAGCATGTATCTGGATACAGACTGTTGCGATGTGGAGAGTGGGAAAACTGTGTTAGGGTGTTTAGGGATATAGGTGAACAGTGTGTTGGGATATGGATGAAAAAGCTGTGTTTTGAGGGGTGTTTTTCCACTTACACTGTTCTCTGCTCTCTGTTTCTGCGCTGCCTCCATGTTCTCTTCCAACTCACTACAAAGCTTCCTCAGAGCTTTCTCATCCTTGTAAAACACACACACACACACACACACACACACGGGTGAGAAAATCACTTGTCTTCCACACATCATACATGTGACAAACCACAAATTGCTCAACATGAAATAGAAGAGATTTGTTTACAGTAGGGCTGCAAGGATTAGTCTACATATAGTTGACATGAATTTTTATTACAGCATCATTTATCGAAAAAAAAAAAGCATTGCTCTACATGCTCTATAACAGGGATTCGAAAACTGAAATCGCTATACGGGTACTCTTTCCCTTTCAGCACAGGGCAGAGAAATATTAGGACTGCACAATAAATCATTTCTACTGTTACCGCGATATGAGTTTCTGTGATAAACATATTGTTAAGAGCTGCGATAACAGAAGCAGATTAAACTACCTAATACAAGAAGCACCAGAGAGACATCATTACATTGCCGGCACAAATGGTTAGAAGCCTAACGAGTGCTTCTCTGTGCTGGGATTGAACCCTGTTGCCCTCCTGGGTGATGAGTCACTTAACCATAACGCTAAATTGCCAATTACAAAAACCACACACATGCTCAGCTAAAAAAACTCCTCCATCCTGAAGGACAAGCCTGTAAAAACACAAACACTAGGATTGTTCCTACACCCAGTATTGTGTTTTAGGTGGCCGAGGCAGCAATTTCTACAGTCATAACAAATATATTTAATGACTAAACAAAAACAAACAGAAATATGTATTCATTATTGTGTGCCGATGTTATATATATATATATATATATATATATATATATATATATATATATATAATATATATATATATATATATATATATATATATAGTTTGAACAATAAAACGTGTAAATTTGTGTGCTACTAATTTTTTTTCAATCACCTAAGGGAGTATGACTCTGGCCACATGTGAATTTTGGCTGAGGTACTTGTTTTTTCTTTACTTATATTTAATCAGATATCTGTTCATTAACTGTTGCAGATACTCAAATGTGAAAATTACTCAGAATACACATCCCTACTCTGTAACTGGGGTGCCCAACCCTAACCTAACACACCTGATGTTCCCCATCAATAAAGCCAAAAACAAACATTACAGGTAGCTCCATTAAGTTAGAATTAGAACAAAACTTTTTAGAAAGGTAGATCAAGTCCAAGTATGTTCATATGATCCACACAATCATTCTGACTGACTGCAGTACACTACAAGAAATGTAGGAGGCGATATGTCTTCTACTGTTTCATTTATAAAGCACTCTATAGTGTTCATGATTCACAGAGTCAGACTGACAGACCACAGGAAATAATGTTAGTAATGTAATGAGGGAAATAAATCACTAGTTGCAGCTATCATATGCATGAGCCACATGCATTATGCAAGATGACTTTTCTCCCAACCGCCCCCTTTTTTTTGCCCAGTAAAGTATAGTATGAAGCTGGAGAAACTCCATTAGTTTGGTACTAACCTGCGTTTTCTGCTGCAGCACCTGCGCATCCTTCTCTGCCTGAGCCTTCAGTCGGTCCACCTGCTGCCTTAGCTCCGCCTCCTCCACCCTGTGCCTGTCAGACTCTACCTGCAGCGCCTCTTGCAGGCCACAACTAAAACAGCCACAGCATAAGGCAAGTTCAGTGTTGAAAAATCATACCATTTCGTCTACTGGCGTAAAATAATACTATAATAAATAATAACTAACAAACGCAACATGATTAATCTTGTTCAATTTAATGCAATAGAGATGTACATATATGTTTGGAGCCATAACAATAACTGATAATTAACACCATGTTGTAGACAGTACGGATACCTATAATTGATTTATTTTCTTAAATTTTAAACAGTTCACACCATAATCCATGTAGGACAGTGAGCTTGATGTTTTTCATCAATATTCTTCAGCAATATTTTTCTATCCCCAAGAAACTTGTCCATGCATTTTTAACAAGTAAAACTCATTTTTGTAATGCTCTCTATACTAGGATTCTTATGAAAAAAGTCTTTAACAATAAATGCAGTAGCGCAAAAAGAAGACAGAAAGCACATATTACCTCATCATTAGTTACCTGCATCTTTCAGGACAAAATTTAAAGTTAGAGCTTAAAAAACAAGTTTTACTTGTTTTTAAAGCTCTAAATGGCATAGCACCTGCAAAGCTTTTTTCATATTTTACCAGACAATTTACAGATGCTGGCCTTCTACATACACCCTCCGCCTCTTTCTGTAATGCTTCAAAATTGCAGAACTCAATTTTGCCTTTGCGAGGCAATCAAGCTCACAACACACATTTGAAAGCATGTCTCTTTAATGTAGCTTTTAATTAAAGCTTGTTAATTTTTTGGTGTTTATCTTTTAAAATGTATCTGTTATTGTCTCAGTTTAAAATGACAAATCTGAAAGTAACTGTACTCACCTGTTGCTTTGCAGGCTGTTTAGTTCGGAATCTTTGTGCTGTTTCAGCTGCTCGATGGCCGACTGGAGCTCCGACATGCTGTCACCAAGACTAGCCAACAGCTCCACCAGCGTAGTACTCTGACTGTTCTCTGAGCACACAGAGACGCACGCACGCACACAAACACACACACACACACACATTAAATACAATTTAACAAAACAGAAAGCAACACATAATACACTATATGACAACGCAAAAGAGCATATACAGCACCGAATGACTCCTTCAGTTATTTTCCACAGTTATTAGCTTTCACAATCCTATAATTACATTGCAACAAACAGAATGTAAACTGCATGCATTTTTATCAGTCAGGTTGAGGCAAATTCATGTAAATAAAAAGAAAGCAGAAAATGCATGCAGGAGTTTTCTAGGTATTTTGATTTATTTGTTAAAAATCCATAGCTTACTATAACGAAGTCAAAAGGTCAGCATGTCACAAATTTGACAGAGATCTATCATAAATCAATAGATGGGTAAATCTTTTAATTTATAATATGTAAAAATGCCCAGAAATTGTGTTTTACTGGTTTCTTAATGGCATACTGGGCTTGGACCCTGATTGTTGCCATTTGCCATGTAGTTAACCAACCAAAAACCAACATGTTCTACATCAATTTCAGAGGCAAACTAAATGAAAGCTGATGATCTTGGTCGGCAACAATGATAATTTACACTTTAACCTTTTCTCACCTACTGTTTAAAAGGTACTGAAGAAAGAAACCTGAATAGAAACTTCGCCATGCTCAAAATGTAGCTCTCTCTTCACATTTTCGGTAACATTATCTTAGATCAGATTAAGCTAAAAAAAAAAATAATAAAAAATACAAAAAATAATTAAATACTACATCTGTAGGCTGGTTGATTATTGATCGTAAACTTCTGCTGTACTGTGACTGGGGAAGAGGAAGGATTCTCTCTTAGAAATTTTCTGGTGGCAGCAGATAAATCACACACCTCACACCTAATTTAGCCAGGCCATGGGGAACAGCCAACCGCATTTACATATATCTCCCATTGCATTATGAAGTATATAATAAAAAATATAATTAAAAGTACCATCAGCATGCTGAAGTGCAGTTGGGAGTAAACGGGTAAAGGCACTGCTTTTGCTGCCAATTCCCTCCATTGTGCTCTCCTCCTCTGCAAGACACACTGCTGCTACAAAAGCATGTACATGTAAACACAATTTAGAGTCACATCACTGTGATAGATCATACAGGTTTATTAGTTATTAGCTGAGTAATAGACTGTGGATCAGGAAGGTTTTTATTAGCGAGTGAGAGAAGCTGCAGACCTGGATCAGGAGGAGCTGCATCAGTCTCAGGTTCTTCAGTCAGGGCCAGCATGACTGAGCCGACAAAAGAGCCGCACGGCTGCCGGGGCGGCTGGAGCTGCTGTTGCAGTTCATTCTGGCCAGGAGTTTCAGTGCTCTGAGGAGACACAGTCATGTGATTAAATTTAGAGCAATGCTTCATTTTCACTTACAGTTAACACTATTGTCTAATTTCATTAAGGAACACAAGATATCTGGATATTCTTGGAGGACAGTGCTAAGCAAGGTTTATATGCAGATTTAGAGCACATCCTAAATACCACTGGATATTGCGCCATGATTTCTAAGACTGAAATATACATAATTATTTTGAAGGGCCCATATCCTACATTTTTCTGCATCATATTGTATTTTCCCCCCTGAGGTATGAGCTGTTTTTGAAGCTTAACTTCCATGTAACGACTGAATAGATTTGCGGGTGAACAGTCTGTTTTGAAACAGTGTTTACATACTCAAACTCAAAAAAGCAAATTTAGTTTTCCAAGACACAGGCTCTTTAAAATAGAGACTCTAATAACTCATGTGGCTACCAGTTCTGTCCAGTTGGGCTTTTAAAATTTAGACTTCAACTCAAGGCTCAGGATAGAACCCAACTCTACATGGCTGAGCCACAGAGGAAAATCAGAATGTTGTATGATTTGGTGAGTAAAGGTGAGTGTGTGCAGACCTTGGCAGTGGCAGCAGAGTGTGTGCTGCTGGTCAGACAGCGCATTCTGTGCTGTAGAAGGGAAACATCGAGTGTAGCCTGAGCCAGCTGCTCCCCCTGCTCCAGCAGCATAACACGAGCTTTATCACGCGTACTGTCCAGCTCCTCCTGCAGGGAATTCCTCTCAACACTACACACACACAAATCAGCATGTGGACAAAGAGAACAAGTGTGTTTAGACTGCTTCGTTAACTTCTGAAACCACACCTCTATTAATGTCACCTCCATGACAGTGGAGTAAATCGAGCAGTGGAATAAAACAGCCTTAACAAAAAATTTGTAATTGGATCAGGCTTAACAATCAATACTGATTATTAATTAAAATAAACTTCAGTTGGCTCTGATACTGATCTTATCAGATTGGACATAGAGATCCCTAGTGTCTGTGAGAGTGTGTGTGTGTATGTATTACCATAGCTGCTGTATGGTTAGTCTGAGGTCCTCACACTCCAGGTTTCTTTCCCGGAGACCCTGCAGGTTTGAGCGCAGCAACCCCTCGCTCTCAGCCAGCTGTTCCCGGGTCAGCTCGTTCTCTGCCTGCAGAAACTAATAACACAACAAAGTTGTACAGAGTTCTCAATGACAGTAGATAGTTAGCCTGATTTAAAACCTGCTAGTGCTGCACGACTTGGACACAGAATGGGATGTTAGTTAAATATGCTAAATGACTACACAAAGGATATAAATTATAAATAAAATAATGTCTGACTAGGTGTAATGTCTGACTAGGTGCGCAGGTACAGACCATTTTTTTCTGTATAATTAGGAAGAAATCTAACTGCTTCATTAAGCAAATACTGAAGAAAAAAAAAGAAATTCAAAAGCACCAATCACTATTGTGTACTACGCAAAACAAAAAATGATGGTCATGAAGGATTCACAGTTAACTAACAGTTACCTGTATGTTAAAACACCAGACTTTATCTGTATTGAAGTAGTTTTTTTGCCTACTAATACAAATAATTGGAAAAAATGTAGAACATGATGAAAGAACAACTTAAACAACTGTGTTGCCAACCAGTTTAATGACAAGAAACGTGCTACAACAAGAATCAACACCAGAAGTGTGAATAACTGGACAGAGAAGACACAACTATTTTTGAAGCAGCAAATCAGTATGACTGAATGTCAGGTGTTTCCAGGCTTGTAACTCCACTATCTAGCAGTTTAATTTAGTGTGTAACTCTAGGTGTAGTAACACAATCATGCCCTTTTGACGAAGGAAACAGAAGTTTAATACATGCTCTGGCCAAACACCACTGCAATTCAAGAAAAAATTAGGAAATGGCATAATTAGACAAAAAGTCTTTCTGAATAAGTGAAATGTAACAGTATGCCATGATACTTTGCTATAAAAAAAATAATACAGTACCTTGCAGAGAGAAGAGCAGTACTGCAGCACTCTTAATGCTTATATCTTTTAGGTGCCCGAAAACAACCACCCTGAGATAGCCGACAGCCATGATATTCACTGATATTAACAACTAGTAAAATTGTTTTAGCTAATAAAAAGATTGCACTCAATATGCTCTATAGAGATGTAGGCTATAGCAAGTACTTCTGATCTCCTCTTAAATAACATTAGCATAGACATTTTTATCATCTGTATCTAAATAGAAGCATGCAATGCAATTGCAGACGGGTGGTGGACCGGTGATGGAGCTTATACCCCTCCAATTAGCAGTGCATACCTTAGTCATCACATACTTGTCTCAAACAGTGTTGTGTAGTTAAGTAATCTCAAACTTGCTTATGTGGTTTATGATGTAAGTTATGCTGTAAGACTCTTGTCTTTAAAAGTTCATGAACCACCTGTCAGAATTTTGTACTACTCCCAAACTATGCCTTCATGTAAGTGTGTAACTGGAACTCTTATTTTGTGTTATAAAAGAATGAATGCAGCACAAGAAGTTCTACTACTTTAGATTCTTAAGACAAATATTTTCTTAATGTATTAAAACCACTGTGTCTACAGGTGATGTACTTGCTTTGGTGTATGTATGCTGTTGCTGTCTGGATCTTACCTCGCCCATCTCTCGAGCACTGGAGAGTTCAGCCTGTATCTGAGTCAGTCGGCGGAGCTGCAAGCGCTGATTTTCAGCCTCTTCATGGAGTTCAGTCAGCAAGGTGTCCCTCTGTGCTAAAACCTCCTCCAGCTCCTCCACCCTCCGCTGAGACACTTCTAGAGCAGCTTGCAGACTTCAGAGAAAACAGCCACAAAACAGAGATTAAAAAAAAATCCACACACTTCTATCACATTTCTTACAATCACACTTACCCTCAATTCACACATGCCCTTTTACACTAGACTTTAATGGTATTCAACAATAGTCACATGGTATCAGGTGATTTTTTTATGAGTATTAGTAAATGAGCACAGTTTCGGGTTAATACCCTAAACCAGTATCTGTACTAACGTGCCCTTAACACTGACCCATTCTCCCGCAAACCACTCTGAATGACAATATAATTCACAGACTCATTTATGTATAAAGTAATAAAAAAAATAAACAAATAAACACACAACAACCTGATGGAATTCCACTTGGTCAATCTCCAACCATATATGCACAGCTGAAATATGTAATCAAAATAATTTTTATGAATGTTGTGACAGTGCCCCATGCATCTCTGCTCTCCAATTTCAGTTTCCATTTCTCAAATGCTTTAGCCAACCATGCTAACACTATTCCCCCTAATAAACAGTCACAAGTTCAGCTCCGTCTCCTCATTACTCACCACCATCAATTTAATATTTTAACTAACAAGTTTATCAACAACATTAACACAGATGTAAAAAGACAATAGTGAAGACTGTGTCTACAGCGTCTGCGAGTTAGAAAAAATAAAAAATAAAAAAAAAACTCAAAGTTTTATTTAGAGAATGTGGTCTAGTTATAATGATTCTGTGAGTTAATGGATAAGATTATGAAGTCAGAAACTGTTGTTCCATCATGGTGACTGAACAGATTTCAGAGTTAGGACGTTTCTGTAATATAGCCCCAGGATCCCTTCTAGACACCACCCTTCCTCTTCATTCAGATGACCCTCTTATTTTAGGCTAAGCAACATGCATTAAGATCATGACATGTTGACTTTAGCTTGGATTGACAGAAAAGTATTATATAAATACAATGGTGAGTCAACCAGTGTGTTAAATTACCTAACTGTCACATCCAAATTCACTTCAAAAAAGCAGGTATAATGCTAACCTGCTTCTGTGTTTGGTGCGTTCTAGAATGATTAGTTATTTCCATACAGAGCTATTCAAGTCATATGGTTAAAGAAATTTTCAAATCTCAAAAAAGTTTGCAATGTCAATTTTGTTTCCAGTAACATGCAGCCCTAACTCATGAAGATCAGACAGGCAATATAAAAAAATGCATTTGTGTCTAAAGGTAGTGTAATCCACCAAAACAACAGCCAAGGCTTATGTTTTAGGTGTATATGGTTTAAACAGTAACAGGGGTATCAACACATACCTGTCAGCTCGGTCTATGGATTCCTGGGTTTCGTGCAGGGAACGTTGCAATCTAAAAATACAAACACAGATCAGCAGAGGACCTTAAAGCAAATCAAATAATATATAATAATAATCAGTTTCCTGTGTAGTATAATCCAAATAATCCAAGAGTAGTTAATGAGGCAAGAAAAACAGAGTTGAGGTGTTAAGTAATGTAAAAAAAGACTTGCTTGTGGTTTCTGACAAAAATGGATAAAAGTAAGCTGACCGAATACATTTGAGGTAAATGAGAAAAACTGTGTAAATTTTATTTTTCAATGAATTATCAGTTCAGTAACTGTACCTGACCTTGGCACCACTGGTTTTATCGAAATGTACAACTGAGCATCCAAAAGCATCACAGGACAGTGATTCATTGTAGGATTATTGTCTAAAAGTGTGCTCAAATGGAACCTTTAGCATTAAAAAAAACTCATCAAAAAGACACTAAAATCCATGATTCATTACAGGATAAAAGGTCTTTATCCTATACTTAATGTGTATTGAGGAATACTTATTTTTTAAATATTTTTTATATTTAAATAAATAAATAATAATAACGATAATAATAATAATTCATGCAGGGGTCTATGTGTAAGACATACTTGTTGGTCTCTGAGGCTAAAGCCTGCTCCAGGAAGGCGTAGGAGGCTAGTGTAGAAGAGACTGTCGCTGAAAGCTCTGTACTTTTCCTCTGCAGCTGAGCACGCTCTTCCTCGACCTCACTCAACTGCTCACGGAGAACGGTCATTTCTATCAGTACACAGACAAATGTATCATGATACCTTGATCTGAAGGTGATCAAGTGTATAAACCAGCCAATGTTCTAACCAATTATAATTATTTAAAATTGTAATTATATATATATATATATATATATATACACACACACACACACACACACACACACACACACATACATATGTATACACATACATATATATATGTAGCAACAGGAAATGTTTCGGTCGTCAAATCTAATTGGCTGACCAACTTTCAAAACTGTAAAACACACGATAATTTTTGTCCCAACTGGCGATCTGTTAGATACATTACGCACTGCATGGGTGCAGAAGCCAATTTTTAATTCCTATCTAGCACAGCACGAAAGGAGCTATTTGAGATTCCGCCCCAGTGTGGGGGAAAAGGGACATACAAGACATACAAAAAGGGACTAACTTAGACTGGAAATTGTACAGAGGTCCTGAGGGAACGTCACATGTCTACAGTTTGTGTTACATTTGTTTTGCATTTTTACCTTGTTTAATTATTTTTCAACAAACAGAAATGTTGAACTTGTTGACACAATGTACTTTAAGTCAAACCGTGTTTTAACCTTCACACCTGAATTCATGATTGTTATCTGAGTGTTCAGGTCCGCAATCTGCTGCTCAGCGTTTTGCAGGCCAGCAAGGGCTTGCTCCAGTTCAACCTCCATCTTAGAGACAGGAGAGAGAGAAAAAAAAAGCATCATTTTAAAAACAGGACCGAGGGCTTAAAAAAAAAAAACACTTTACAACTGTGGTTAGTTTCAAGTGTAGTGCAGGCTGACCTGAGCTTTTTCCTCTACAGCTATGCCTCTCTCATCCTGGAACAGCTGGCTCTGCTCTACAGCAGCTGACGCCCTCTGCTGGAGCTTCTGTAGAACTGGGTTTGTCTTCTGAAGGAGCCAGCGAGCTTTATGAAGCTAATTACAGAGGACAAAAATGAGGGAGATGTGAAGTTGTAATTCAACAGATTTAGCCAAATCAGGGAGGGGGGGAAAACAGCAAGCATTAATACAGTCCAAACCACTGCTTTAAAAGAGATACGCAGGTCGTACCTCGTCTGATAAGCGTTCATGATCATCCAGTTTCTCTCTTAGCAGGGCACTGGCAGCAGAGAGGGACTCCACATACGACTGGTTCAGTTCAACCTTAACACAGAAATTAAAAAACTAAAATGTAGTACCAGGGTTGGGGGATGTATCCATACTGGATTCAGTATTACTTATGGCAGTTTACCTCATTTCAAAGCTATTTGCTGATGCAAGCACTCCTGCATTTGTGCATTCTCTGCTATTCTGCGCTGCACGCTTGGACAGAAATGGATCCCTACTAGAAAGGTGCTTAGAAAAATCAGTAGGGCTTGTTTTCTGTTAAAAATGTCTGCTCCTCTGAACACTATATGAAGTGCAAGCACATCTACATTTAGCCCGGAAAGTGCGAGCTTCTGGTAATAAGTAAACAAAAGTTCTCTTTGTTGCCTGTTGCTTAAAAAAAGTTTAATTAAATTTAATAGTTAAAGAAATTGAAAGTTAATAAAAAATGGAAATCTAAATCTGCCATTAAAAAAAAAAAATCTATGATTGGTGCATCCTTAGTGTATAATCTCTGGGTCAGTTCCCATGCTTCAGACACTTTCTGTCTAGACTTTGCACTTCCTATTTATTATTTCTTTTTATCTCCTTAAGCAATTGCAGTTTGTATGGTTTTAGCCCTATTTTTCTTTCTCAGTTTCCTCTGTGTTTTTTTATTGTCTCAGAAGATTAATCTAAACAGTTTTTGTATTCTAATTTCAATCAACTCTCTAAACGCTAAATGCTAGCACTGTTATCTCAAAGGTAATAATGCCCATTTTATTTAATACATTTATTTTATTATTATTTTATATTTTCCATTTTATTTTATACACTCTTCCTTTGATTTTCTTAGGTTGTTTTGCTTTTGCCTAGGCAAAGCACACTGAATTGTCTTTGTGTGCTATATAAATAAACTTGCCTTGCTATGTGTATTAGAGTGTGTGTGCAACTCACCAGCTGAGGGTAGGTGTGTGTGAGAGCAGTAGTGAGTTCTTGTTGGGATCCAAGACTGCACTGAAGATCAGAAACTTGTGCAGAGTGATGGGCACGCAACTGCTCCAACACCCGCAAGACCTAAATACACATAGACTGTGTTATTATTATACAATATGCTCAATATCCTTTCAACATACTGAAAGGAATTAATTAAATCTATTTGATTGTCGCACAGACCAGTCTAGTTTTTTCTCTCAACCAGTCAAAATAATGAACACACACACACTATACACATGAACTTCAACATACATATATCTGGTTGTGTGTGTGTGTGTGTGTGTGTGTGTGTGTGTATATATATATATATATATATATATATATATATATATATATATATATATATATATATATATATATATATACACACACACACACACACAGAGAGAGCTAGGTCTCCCCCTATCACACAATACTACTACATACTACCAAGGTTGGAGGGTGAAGACTAGCATGTGCTTGCTCTGAGACATATGAAGCTCCAATGAATCATTTCAAACTGCTGCTAACACAGCACTATTGGACAGTTCAACATGCTTTGAGATCACTAACAGGGCAATGCTACCCACTGAGACAGCATGATGAGAGAGGGGTAGGGCAATCCTACCCACCTAGAAAGAGTAAGGCTAATTATCCTCTCGGTCACAAATGGCTGCGGCATCACCAGGGATCAAACTCCCAATCTCTTAACAATAAGGCCATATATGACAATATAGTTACCCCAATAAATTATCACACAGTATGTCTTTTTGAGCATGTAATGTGCACTGTCAGTATTTAAAGAACACTAATCAACTGTTTCATCACAATTTTATATAAAATTATATAATCTGGCCTGGTTTATTGGCTTTAGTGTAGCGCTGTATTTGAAAAGTTGAATTTAAAAAGTGTTTTATTCCTAGTTTTTCCAAATTTTTTATGTAGCAATACAGTTTTTTTTTCTGTCCCAACATCTCAAACCTCAGAAAAACAAAATATTATGATACTGTGTATCATGAAAATGTCTTGAAATATTGTGATGACATATAAAACCACAATAAATAGTAACATAATAATAGTAACAATATATAGCACTGAGTCCATATCATGCAGGCCCATGTAGAGCTTTTCATGCTGATCTCCAGTCATTTATTACCGTTTCTTTCTCCTGTAAAGTCTCCTCCATGCTGCGTCTCATACCATCTCTTTCCTGCAGGCAGGCTCTACACTTCTCTTCCATCTTCCTCAGAGTGCCCATACACCTGCCATACAGAGCCTTCACCTCACTCATCTACACAGAAAGAGAGGAGAGGAGAAAAAATAAAATAAAATAAAACACACACACACACACACACACACACACACACCTAAGTGTATTTTATTGGAAACAAATGTACAAATGCTTTCCACAAATACATAGATGCCCCAGTATGATTTTCAGATATACAAAAACAAACAAGAAACTACAACAAAAAAGAAAATAAATAAATAAAATAACACACCTCACAGAACAACCAATCAACCCCTCCCCTCTGCCACTTCCTACCACTTAAAGATCATACATTATGTATTGTGATGTGTTATCTTTGCTATATCGCTTACCTACTCTGGATGTGAGCTGACAGCAGTCATTTGTGCTTCCTCCATTTTGTTTAAAATCGTTGTGACTGACTGAAGCCCCGCCCCACACTGGTGCCTACTGACTGACGTGTAAGTGCATCAGAGAATGCTCTGTCAAAAGTTCAACTCCAGTAATATTTTAATTTTGCTATGTGCTGGCACTGCGCTCGCTGAAATAAACTTTTCCTCGATAGAGCGATACGATATGTTCGATAAATGTTCGATATAATACACCATTCTCACACTTCCACATTCTAGCGAAAGCCTTGGTGGTGTTTTCTACTGCAAGGAAAGCGACACTACTCTGCTGTCGCCAGGAGAGGGTGCACTTCCGAGTTTTTCCACATGATTAGAGAGGGAGGGGGCCACGAGTAAGATGAGTCTTTAGCAACGGCTGAAACGCGGAGTTATACATTCCCTGTTTGAGTGGAGCGACCGGCGATCTGTTCTCCTGTGACCGAGTGTGAGTGACGAGGTCAGTGGTGTAACTATACTGTCCTACAGTGAACTCACCTCTTTCCTAACATCCTAACCAGCTTTAGCAGCGTTAAATCACAATCACAATCCTCACAACTACAGCACTGTTACAGCGCTCAGTCATATTTAGTATTAGTGCATTCCCAAGCAACGAAAGTGAAAGAAAGAAGTGGGTTCATGTAAATTACAGCCCTGATTTAAACGAAAGGAAACTGAGGAAGCTGTGAGGCATTGGAGAGCGGAAGAGCGCTAGCTTTCCAGGCTAGCTGTTTTTAGCAGCTGGTTAACTTGAAGCAGCGCTCCGTCACTCCACAACACGGAGAATTGATGATACTGTAGATCAAACAAGACACAAAAGCGCCGCTTTCAGTTTAAACGTACCTAAAAAGAGGACTCTGTTTGTCTGGTGTTAGATATTTTGCGGTCCACCACTTAAACTACTTCGATAGAATAGAGAAATGCAGTCGTCGCTAGCTGGTGTCTGAATACTGTGAAGTCATTTGTAATGGGCTAGCCGAGCGCTCGACACCAGCTAAAAACAATCTGTTTTCTTTCGTAAATTATGACTATTACAAAATAGCCATGCTTTTCCAGCTGGTAAAAACAGCTCAGCAGACACTTTCTCCCACTCTCCCATGACAGATTTGTGAAATGTTCCACTGTTTGGCGAGTGTTTGTCGTGTTCCGACCATAAAGGATAGCTTAAAACAGTAATTAACCACCCAGGAGCAAAAAGCAGCCTTCAAACTTGAAAGAAATAATGATTTGACATTTATCGCGGTATGTATCGATATCGAACTATATGAATTTTGTTTATCGTGATAACATTTTTGGCCATATCGCCCAGCTCCATCCTCAACCATATCAGATCGCAGAATAACCTAAAATAAGCTAAAGCAGAGGGATGTTAGCTTCTTCCCCCCAAGTTACACAGAAATGTCCAAAAAGGCAGTATTTTGCAAACTAAATAATTTGCATTTCCTTGCACTTATATATACTTAAATATATATAATGGCTACACGCTAGCCTTATTTAAGGTGACAAAGACTGCCAGAGATTACTTTGCTACTGACATTCATCTTTTTAATCTAACAAAATATTCTTCTGACAACTTGTGTTGCTTAATAAATAAACAGAGGCTGCTGTTTTTTTCCGAGCCTTTCTTTATATGCAGCCTGCACAGTTACAGAGATGAAGGACATGGTCACTAAATCGAAAATCCTTCACAGACAGAAGTAGGGATGCATGATCAGAACCAGCAAAAGCACAATCACTTTGAAAGACTGAGAAATAGACACTTATTCTACAACTGCTTAAGACCCTTACCTTATCCTCAGGCTAAAGATGTGTTGGCTGCAATTAAGTGACTCACCTGCTTGTACAAAATTTCCTGATCTTCATTAACGATGCTTTCAATCTCCTTCATACGACCCGGAGCCTCCTCCATGTCTGTCTTAACAGTAGTCTGTAAAAGAACAGGTCCACATACAGCTCTCAGCATGTCCATCAAACACTGAAGTAACAATAAAAGCAAAAGTGGGCTGTGCCCTACCATAGTGTTCCTCATCTGCTGCATGGCATGATATAAACTTTGGAGTGTGTCCTGGTCTTCCTCCAGAATGTGGATCCGCTCTAGTGCACTTACATACAGCTCCTTATATGGTCCCATCTGACAAACGATAAAATCACATCAGCTACTTGTTTGTTTTTTCTGTTTAAGGATATGCTCACTTTGTTAGGGTTGAAGTGGTATAAAAGCATTTTTTTTTCCTTATGTGGCATGATTGTCAGGACTGTTTAAATATTTTCTATCACAGTTTCATTTTATTAGGGGTCCAAGCACCAAGAACCCTATTTCCTTTCCTAGGATTTTTCTTCTTCTTCTTATTCTTTTTCTGCCCTAAAATGGTTTGTGGAGAAGACACCGTAAGTCATCCAAAGACCAAACTTAGAGGGTAGGTGTAGAATCCCCCCCACTACTCAGGCAACTGAAATGACCCAAGTTGGTCTGATGGTGGCGCTATAGAGCAACATCTTATGTTTTTGCCCATATCTCCTGAACCATGGGGCCTTCAGTCATTATATTCTTCTATGGATGAAATAAAGAAAAGATAGTGGTTTCAAATTACACATCTCATTAACATCTAACACACTGCAATTATATGTATGTTCCAAAATTGCACAGGAAATGTGGAAATTTGACTTAAACCCAGGTTGGCCACACAATTAGTAAGGGTAATATCTTTTCTGCCCAGCAGAGGGAGCATCAGCATTAAATGCAAATTATGACTTCAAACATACTTATGGTCGCAGTCTTTGCAACATCTATCTTGCGGCAAAGGAACTTTCTGAATTTTATGTATTCCACCGAGCCAGGCAATTTTGCGCATACAAGTCTTTTAAAAAACGATATTTTTTTTCTGTAAATCATCCGAGTTTGAAAACTGATGTTTTCATACTGCTTGCTGAAATGTTTTTGCAACGTCTCAAACTTGGTCTCTAAACAACCGTCTCAAGATCAATAATTATTTAAAAAATCTTGCCTTTTAAGCACAATATTATTGCAAGTTATGGAATAATCAGTTCGGTCCAGCCTATTCGGAAACAAGGGACCACAAATCTGTCACTTATGCTCTGATTGTGACCAAAATCGATTTGTATATTATAATAATCAGTTGAGGAAAGGTATGACATTTGGCTTGATTCTGCCTATGTTAGCTCTTACAATGTTCAATTTACTGCCAAAAATCTAAAATGTAATTATTCCTGTCTAAGAATAAAAACAATAAAAACATGACAATTGTTTCAAATTATGCATCTTAATGAGAATTGTCACTTTGCAAATATGTGTAGGTTGTACTGTAAAGGAAATCCTATTATTTGATTTCAGCAAATTTTGTTCAGAGCAACAGTTTTTCTCTGGTCACCAGAGGGAGCCAAATCAGTAACTGCACGTCATTGTTGACATATACATGGAAAGCTTTACTGTATGTCTTTAAGCGAGGAGCATTTCTGAATGTTATGTTTTCCACTAAGCCTAACAATTTTGCAAATACAAGTCTTAAAAAACTTTCAGTAATATCACAGTTGAAATAAGATGGAGAATAGACATTTCTTACTAATTCTTGAGTTTAAATCAAATTTAAAACAATCATATTGAAAATATCATGACTTAAGCACAGTGTGGCTGAAGATTTGAATAAATTGGTGTGAATTGGCTTATTCTGCTAAAAATACACCAATAATTGTCTGAATATAACCAAATTAGGGCTGGGCGATAAAACAATAACGATAATTATCGCGATATAACTTTTCCTCGATAGAGCGATACGATATGTTCGATAAATGTTTGATATAACATACCATTCTCACACTTCCACGTTCTAGCAAAAGCCTTGGAGGCGTTTTCTACTGCAAGGAAAGCGACACTACTCTGCTGTTGCCAGGAGAGGGTGCACTTCCGAGTTTTTCTACATGATTAGAGAGGGAGGGGGCCACGAGTAAGATGAGTCTTTAGCAACGGCTGAAACGCGGAGTTATACATCCCCTGTTTGAGTGGAGCGACCGGAGATCTGTTCTCTGTGACCGAGTGTGAGTGACGAGGTCAGTGGCGTAACTGTACTACAGCGAACTCACCTCTTTCCTAACATCCTAACCAGCTTTAGCAGCGTCAAATCATAATCACAATCCTCACAACTAAAGCGCTCGGACAGTCATATTTAAGTATTAGTGCATTCCCAAGCAACGAAAGTGAAAGAAAGAAGTGAGTTCATGTGAATTACAGCCCTGATTTAAACGAAAGTAAACTAAGGAAGCTGTGAGACATTGGAGAGCGGGAGAGCGTTATCTCTTCAGGCTAGCTGTTTTTTAATCAGCTGGCTAACTTGAAGCAGCGGTCCATCACTCCACAACACGGAGAATTGATGATACTGTAGATCAAACAAGACACAAAAGCGCCGCTTTCAGTTTAAACGTACCTAAAAAGAGGACTCTGTTTGTCTGGTGTTAGATATTTTGCGGTTCACCACTTAAACTACTACGATAGAATAGAGAAATCCAGTCGTCGCTAGCTGGTGTCTGAATACTGTGATGTCATTTGTAACAGGCTAGGCAAGCGCTCGACACCAGCTTAAATTATGACTTTTTATGCCATGCTTTTCCAGCTGGTAAAAACAGCTCAGCAGACACTTTCTCCCACTCTCCCATGACAGATTTGTGAAATGTTCCACTGTTTGGCGAGTGTTTGTCGTGTTCCGACCATAAAGGATAGCTTAAAACAGTAATTAACCACCCAGGAGCAAAAAGCAGCCTTCAAACTTGAAAGAAATAATGATTTGACATTTATCGCGGTATGTATCGATATCGAACGATATGAATTTTGTTTATCGTGATAACATTTTTGGCCATATCGCCCAGCTCTAAACCAAATTTGACATAAATATACAAAATGACAAATTAAGAGTGTATTATGATGATTTCATTTGGAATTGTACTTCTCAGTAGTCACAGTAATTGCAAGGTGTGAACTAATTCCCAAAATGGTGCTTGGTTCCTTATTGGAGCTTGCGGCTATATTTGCTTTTATTATTGTTTAAGTTATGTAAGCTATTTTATTTGTCTAGTTTTGCCGGTTTTTACAGAGTGGCGGAGAAGATTAAGTAGATTTTAGAGCTAAAGGCCCATTTGAATGTGAGGAGGACCACTCTAGAAGCGGCTTGGCAGGCACTCCACTCGGCTACTGCAGCTTGTCTTCCGGGACCCAGCACTGAGCTCAGAGGACATGTTGCAATATGTAAATATTTTTATCTGAGACGATTCATTAAATGTCATTTGTCTCACAAAACAACACACACCACTGTTCTCCAATAGAGCTTCTACAATGGCTGCTGCACATTTGGGTCATTTACATAGACTGAACGTGAAATAGTAGGGGAAAAACAATAGTGATCAGCAAAATAAATCAATAGCAATAAGTCTTGTAATGTGAGGAAAGACCAAAAACTTTCTTTTTTTCTTTTTGTTCTGACTGACTGAGTGCAGTGTGTTGTATTGTACCTGGCTGAGCTGTGTGTGTTCAGTCTGGACAAGCCTGTCTCTGAGCTCAGACGGAGCAGGGCTGGTCCCACCTGTATGAGATTTTGCAGAGGAAAGTTGCTGGGACAGAACCTCCACCATGATTAGGGTGGACAATAACTTCTGCTCCAACTCTGGCCTGGACAAAGACTGCAGACTGCTTGGGCTGACACTGCAACAGGGGAACGGGACAGCAGACATGGAGAACATAATACACCAGTACACATTGATGGGCAATGGGACCAGGTTATATTGGTGGTATGATGTGAAATCGTGTACCATGACCTCACCCCCAACTGTTTTTTTTCATTCAGATAAATAAGAAAATATCAAAAAAACAGTATCGTCTCTACAGCTGGATGATAAAACGATAACAATAATCATCACAATATAACCTACGTGAGGGAAACAATGGCCAGTGTTTTACAGTTTTAAGAGGCAGTACTTATGTGCGTAGCCAGCATTTCACAGAGGCAGACAACTCAAAAATGACATGTCTGAAACATGGGGTTATACCTTCCCAATTTGAGTAGAGCAATCAGTGATCTAGTCACCTGTGATCAAGTGTGAGTGACAAGATAAATATCATGTAACTGTACTGGCCTAGAGCGAACTCACTTCTTTCCCAACATCCTAGCAAGCTTCAGCAGCGTTAAATTACGTCTGCTACACACAACTACAGCCGAAGTGGTCTGTGTGTTACAGTGCACAAACAGTCATATTTTAGTATTAATACGTTCCCAAGCCAGCTAATGTTTGCTGTTCGCACTAAGCTGACGTTATTAGGACAACACTAGCAAATACAAATGTTTCTCCACTCCTAAATCGTAGAAAACACTGAAATATAAATTAAGTATAAATACAGATTTTTTTATGTCATAGCACCTAAACTGAAAAACAATCTACTCAAAATATCTTTGATTCTGCTGTTCTTATTATAACACTACAATAGAGCTAACTTACCTCCACAGAAGGGAGTCGGTGGAAGTGCATGCATCCGACACCTCAGTCTCTTTCACCACTTCCACCAGGGCTGAAGTGTTTACGCTTCGTTCAACCCTCATTACTGGTGTGGTCCACACGGCAGCACTGTGGTGCTGCACTGGAGTGGTGCCCATCTCAGCAGTGTGACGCTGAACCGGTGCTGGTGTGGAAGGAGCTGTGATTTTCCCTGAAGCCAAAATGAGCAGCTCTGCCATCTGTCTGAGCTGCTGCTGCAGAGGGCCTTTACTCATAGTGGAAAAATCCAACACTGGGGCTTTCACTTTTGGCTTCACAGCTGCTTTGATCTCAGTTTTTCTGGGTTTACAGGCTTGCAAAGGTGTAAGAGTTTGGGGTAAAGTTGTTGAGTTCAGCTGTGGTGGAGGCATAGGGCTTTCAGGGAGCTCAGGCCACAGACGGCTCTCCAGATTTCCCTCAACGTGACCCTTCAGATATAAGATATACCAGGACACAAATCAAATTCATTAGGAACCCTCACCTTGTGCTTCCACTCACTGGTCATACAATTTTGATTATAAACATCTACTTTAGAGGTCCACTACAGGTGTACAATTACAGACTGTAGCCCTGTTCTTGCACGATTTATCAGCTCCCCTCTACACTATTCATAACAGCTCAGTTTACAGATATTATTTGGATAGTGGAACATCCACAGACATGTCAGTAGTATGGTGGTATGGTGGATTTTACATGTCAGAGTCACTGCTAGGTTAAGAGTGCTGATGAAGGGCTACAGGATGGCCAACACAAACTACGCCTCTACAGATGGACTATAGTCTCTGACGGTAGACCAGCAAGGTGGAGCTACAAGAGAGCTGTTTCCGCTAAAGTGGACAAGTGGTGCTTATATTAGCATATAATTGTATTACTGCCTGGATAGCAGTGAACATTATAATATAAATGTGAGCTCACCTGCAGGACGCTCCTACTGAGAGCCGTGTTTCTGGGAGTTGAGGGGTCACGCAAGGTCAAAGCGCTCCACAGTTGAGTGCGTAGAGGCATGGCGTCAGTGTGACACTCATGAACGCTTTCAGCACGCAGGACTTCAGAACCAGAGTGGACTCCACTCAATCCCAGAGCACTGTCTTGCACCACACTGGCTTCCAATTCGGCATCAGCGTGTTGGGCCGGCATGCTCTGGGCACCAACATTTCCACATTCAGCCCCAAAATTCCCAGCAGACATGCTAACAGCAACCTGGGAACAAGACTCAATGTTTTGGGCCAGCACATTCTTTTCTTCATTATCTGAGAGGGTTCGCTGGTTGATGTTATCTTGACATTGTAAGCCTTTTGAACTTCCTATCTTATGTTCTTCATTGCTGTTTAGCGGAGATGTGTGCTGGCTCTGGTCATCAACATTTCTACATTCATCCTCAATGTCAACATTAAGTTTGTAGCATGATGATGCAGTGTTTTGGACCAGCATGCTAACATTAGCTTGGGGGTACGACAACTTAGAAGTCAAAAGTGCTTGCTTTTCTGATGAAGACTGACTGACTGAAAGATCAGACTGCACTTCAACAGAGGGATGTGTAAAAGAACCAGTAATGTCTGTTAAATCATCCTTGGTTTTGTTTTCCAAATTGTCAGAAGCTGATTGTTGGACAATGTCGTCTTGATGTATTAACATTTTAGAGCTTTCTACCTTGGTTTCATTGCAATTTAGTAATGAAGTTTGGATTTTTGCAGATTTAGCCTCAAAGTTCTCAGCAGACTTGTCAATATTAGCTTGGGAACAAGATGACTTAGCATGTTCACCTACATCTGAAAAAACATCTTTATCTTCTGATGAAAAGTGACTGATTTTAGACAGAACTTCAACAAGATCATGCACAAGAAGACCACTCAAGGCTGTCAGGTCCTCCTTGGCTTTGTTTTCCTCATTATTAGAGGCTGATTGCTGGTCGATGTCATCTCGATAGTGTGTGACCTCTGTACTTACTTTTGAACTTAAATTATTTTCACTATGGTGTAGCGGAGATAAGTTATGGTTCCTGTCTGACTTCTCTATGCTAGCAATCGGCTCTTGTGGAACTAAAGAATTTTCTGAAACAGGCAAAGCCAATCTAGGCTTTAAAGTTGGGGATCCATCAGTTCCAAGACTGGCCATCACATGAGCCGCAGTTTCAGAGCTTTCCAAAAGACCAGTAGAAGAAAGCTGTGATCTTAAGTGAGCTTCACTCTCACAGACGACTGGCTCTGGGACTAATGGGTTGGTGGATCCATCTCCATGTATATCAGCATCTTCAACACAACAATAAAGGTGGTCAGCATGTTTGCTGTTAGGGGTCAATGCTACAGTATTTTCTCCATCGTGTTCACTACAGCTACACGACAACGGCTGGAGGTGACCATCTAAAGTCAAGTTCTTCATAAGCACAGATATTACAGACATGTTATGTGTATTCTCTATCTCAACCTCTGCTCCAGGGAAGGTTAATGATTTAAATGTCCGATCTCCAGGTTCCTCCACTAACTGACTCTGAGCCACTGAGGTATCTGCACTGGAACAATTTTCAGGGTTAGCATCACTAAAAATAGCATCCAGGTTCTCATCAGGCTGTGTGCAGACAGAGTCATCACCTCTAGAAGCAGATAAATCCATCTCATGATAGTAGGGATGATCAATATGACAGCTGGGGGACTCTAAAAGCTCAGTGTGTTCTTCGGAAATTTCACTTTCATCTCTAAAACTCTGAGAAGGATCTTCCAGTGGTTTGTCTTCAGGCATAATTGAGTCATCTTGCATAATCAAGACATCTACAACTTCAATCTCTCCTCCTGGACAAGTGAAGGACTTAAAGGTGATGTCTGCTTGTTCGTAAGTCAATGACTTCATTTCCTTAGGTGAAACTGCAGAAAAATCTGCATTTTTAAGGCTGGCAGCATGATTTATATAGCAAACCTCATCAGCCCCATTCATCTTTCCATCCTGTATCATACTTGCACAGCTAGGCTCATCAGCCGGGTGAGTACAGTATGGATGGTCAACATGTTCACTGTTGGAAAGCACAGCCACATTATCTTCTGGATATGTTACAGTTGTGTTGTTAAGAGCCTGTGGACCATCTTCCAGCATTAGAGCTCTAAAGAGAACGTTTTCATCTGACATTTCAAATCGTTCTGAAATTTCAACTTCCCCTCCTGCACACAAGAAGGACTTCAATGTGACATTTCCCAAGTGGTCATTCATGCCGTCTGCACCTTCTTCACTTCTGTCTGAAGAAATGCTGGTGATGAAGGTGCAATCAGCTTTTGGACCACAGAAAGGGCCCACGTTTTCAACCTATTTGAAAAGGAGGAGACATAATATGCTAATTAAAATCAGAAAACAAAATTAACAATACAGGGGGAATTAATATCCTAGAAGATATTGATGATCTTCTACAACAAAACAAATCATCACCATAAAAACAAAGCCTTATTAGCATTTTTTTCTAATTGTTTTATATGATTTTAATGTGCCACCTGCCCTTTACATTGTATAATTAATAGAAAAGGTACTCAATAAAGTACTTGAAACATCTTGATGCATTTAAAAGGGCATATCGCCTATAATTTATGTGTATTTAACTTTGTACCTTACATCCACTTTGATGTTTGTGTGGGTTTATGTAACAAAAACAGTTGTAATTCATGACAGTTTTTCAACCTGTCTTCACCTCTTATAATTAAAATATGCTGATTTTATTACTGTGCCATTACGACTGATACATGTAAACATCCTCTATCTCAAGTTCAAAAAGCAGTCCAAGTTGAAAGGTGGCTAAATGTAAATATGCTGGTTTTCATGATATTACAGAACATAATCTACATGGGCAGTGTAGACCAATGACAGTGATATATTTTGAAACTTTAACAATGTTTATATACTACATCTAATCCTTACATAAAAAAGTGAGAAAATTGTTTTTCTATGATGACCCTTTAACATATGTTAAAAGTTAAGAATATGCTTCTTTCTGGTCCTGACAGAGGTTATATGTTTATAAAGAGCAGACATTAACTATCTCAACTTTCTGGATATACCTCTTGTGCAGGGTTCTTGTGACCTAACGATGCAGCTTTGACACCTGCCGTTTTCTGCTGGTGTAAAGCCAATACTTCATTCTGCACATCTCGCAGTGGAGTTCTGTCGGATCTCATCAGAGGCTGCTGTGAATTGAAACAACTGTTAGTTTTCTCCTGCAATGACCAAACGGGCTAAATCATCATATTAGCAGTTCTTTTGATGTCACTAGGTAGATCTGCAATGAAAGTGTATACAAAACCAGTGGACAAACTTACCTGACCTCTAGTAGACATGGCTCTTTGTTAGAGACGTTCTTCTATAAAATTTGGTAAAAGTTAGTATCTTACAAATAGCCAACTTCAAACACCATGAGTTTAAAATGTAGTTTTTAAATTGAGTCTTTTGCAAATAAAAAAAAAAATAAAAAACTTCTTCCAACACCCCACCCCCCATCATAATGATGATTGTGTACATTGTTCAAACAAAAAAAAAAAAAAACATCTCCATTTTACAGATTTTTATTTTTCCACATAATAAAACAGGGCAGTTGTCCTTTACATTATCTGGGGATTTCATGATGAATGGACCAACAGAAATGCTCCAAAACCACCTAGAATAAAACCTCTGTACTTTAATTTACATTAAAAGTTAAGAACGTTTTGCCCTCTTCTGTAAAGTTACCATTTTGCATTTTACACACAAAATGTATTTTACACGCATGTGCATTCAATATCTCTTGTAAAATTAATTGTATTAATAGGGAGTCTTTCCCTTTTGTAAGGCTTTATAACATTGCTGTGAGGCTATGATTGCATTCAGTAGGGGTGGGAATCTCTAGGCACCTCATGATTCGATTACGATTCAGAGGGCTGTGATGCGATTATAAAACGATTATCGATGCATCTTGATACATCTTATTTTTCTATACAGCATTTCTATTTTCTCACTGTCTGAGGACTTGGTAATGTTAAAGCAAAGTATCTGCAATAATCCATAATGAATTTACTTGCAATATCTTTTATTAATAAGTCAAATGGAAGTAATGTGGCAAGTGAACTAGAAGGCTCTCATTCACTGCTCTTGATTGGAGTACATGAGACGCTGCTGCCACTCATCTGCGATAAAATGCGCAGTTACGGTGAAATAAGATCCTGTGGTTATGGATGACCACGCAGCACATGTTACAGCCGTCCTACCCGTTTCAAGTGACTTTATGACTTTGATCTCGTTGTACAGACGGGAGGGGGGCGGGGTCGCTGTGTCAGTGAAATATCTTCGAGACGGGTCGTGTGCAACATAGCGAGAAAGCCCTGTTTCGCAACGACTCCGCAGACTGCAGGTCGCATAGCAGCGATGCGTTATTCGCATTTATAAGCACCGCAGTTGGTTTCCTGGTACGTTAAATCTACAACGAGACTGTCAAACACTAAAAAGTGGCGAAGATGAAATCAGTTTCTCTTTTGAATTGTCCCGTTCTACCTTAAATAGTACCGCATTTACATTCGGCACAATTTAAAGTGGAACAGGGAAATTCGAACAAGAAGCTGGAGAACAAGAAGCGACTTCGGCCTCGTAAAACAGTCGAACGCTGAGACGTTTTACAATAAACTGATCTACTTTTGAAGAAAAGTGTCCTGGTGGAGATGGGAGGAAAGCGGCTGTAGGCGAAGCTTAAAGCAGAGCGAAGTAAATTTTCGTATATATTGTTTAGCCTGTACTAGGAAATTATCACATACTGACACATACTGGACATTAAATGTTGTGGCTGCCAAGGTGGTTTGATTTTTGTTGAAAGGTCAAAATGGCTCTTCTTATCATTTGGGTTGCGACTCCTGACCTAACCTGGCTTTTAATGCAGAGGCTGTCGTCGGATTTCTCGCTCATCCATGTGTGTTTTTGTAATGTGCCGTCACTGTCCGGGCGCTGCACTTTCCGCCTTTTGCGTTCCGTCAACGTTACGTTATAAATTAAATATTTAGAAAATCGATTTTTGACATTTGTGAATCGATTCAGAATCGTTCACGTCCGCATCGCGATGCATCTAAGAATCGATTTTTTCCCGCACCCCTAGCATTCAGGTACAAGAGCATTAGTGAGATCAGTTACTGAAGTTGGATGACAATGGATTAGTCCTAGATCACAAACGCCGCTCCAAAGGTAGTGGATGGAGCTCCATCACTCAACAGAACGCAGTTCAACTGCTCCACAGGCGTTATACACCTCTAGCTGACGGTTGTCGTTGTGCATGTTGACTGTGGGCTCACGCGAGTCCCATCCTATCGGCAATGCTTTTATATGGAGAACGTAGCTGAAGTAGCTAAATTCATTCATTAGAAGGGTCATCTGGCTACTTTTGGACATGTAACGTTAGCTAGCGTAGTAAACCCAAATGTCTTCTCGCTGGCTTACGAGCGAACAGAAATCTTACTGTATCTTACTGTTTAGCAGCTAGTGTTAAACATCATAACAAAGGTAACGTTAGGAATAACTAACGTTACCATGAATGGCTATGTAATATGACTAATCTAACCTAGCTAACGTTACTGCGGCTCCCTGCAGTATTAACTAAAGTCTCACAAAACTACTTAAATATGAATTAAAGTTACGTTAGCTAGCTACAGTTTCTCTTCTTTCTGTATGTATATTAGACTCTGGGCTTCAGTGAGAGTTGGTCATTGTATTAACCTTGCCTGCTCCTAAACCAAATTAATAACGATGTTCTGCTTCATTCTAGAAAGGCTGCCAGACGGATAGCCCAAAGCGCTGAACATGTTTTACTTATATATCCCTACTAAACTCGTCCTGTTGGCCTGCTAACCTAGCCGAATGTCAGGCTTCATTAGCTGCTGTTTATGTACGTTAAAGCTGTGAAAACACACGTATGTATAAACGCCTGCTATTTCACCATTCCAGGTTTTTAAGTCTTACCTTATGGTTTCGGGACGAAATAACTAGTTGTTCCACCTCAGATATTATTTTAGTAGTTAGAATATTTCTGTGTTTTTAGCATCGCTGCTTCAACTGCCGCGTCTGTTCAAACTTAGGCTGTTCTCAGCTCATTGGCCGAAACCACTATAGCGTCACACCGGCCGGGAAAACGTGTCTTCAGCAACAGCGACCTCTTGCGCAGTGAGGCCGTTAATGAAGCTTTTTTTACAACCTTCACACTCTCATTTAATTCACTCTTCACTATTAAACTCCCTTAGAGCTGCTTGATTAAAATGCCAGACGTCTGACAAGCTCCCTCACAGAAAGTTATTACATGAAATGGTTACAAATACGCTGTCTAAGATATCTGACACTGTTTTACCATAGATAAAGACAAAGTTTTGGTCTAAAACGCATTTTAAACATGCAGAGAGTTGCAAGGCATAATAGTCCCCCAGCACAACTCTTTTTTCAGATTTACGATTATTTTACCATTATCAACACTATATACAGAAACTCAAAAGACACGTAGTTTCACTGGTTGTTTTGGATAGTAAATAAAACGGCTAAATGTGCGTTGTAGACATCATATGCCTGGTTCCTGACACCACCTCATTATGTAAACCACTCTGATGGTCTGTTCATTTGGTACACAGAGTGAAAATGTATGGAGGACCAGATTTGCCAAATTAAAAAATAAATAAAATTAAAAAATAAATGGCTCAGTAAATTAATCAATAAATAAAAAAACTAAATAAAGTATATATTGCTTATTGTGATTGTAATTATACACATATTTCCTTTTTCTGCAGTTATATATTTCTCAAATTATTTATTTCTGTATTATTTATTTTGTTTTATTAATGCCATTTTTATCTTTTTTCCATATCTATATTTTTAACAATTGTTCGCTTTATTCTTTGATTCATGTATTAATTTATTTATTTTTTCATCAATTCATTTATTTATTTTTTCATTTATTTATTTCTGTATTTCTTCGTTCATATGATAATGAGGGGGCGTGTTTTTCACGTTCAGGCTTAGCAATCAAGACCAGGAGGAGGAGAGCTGATTAAACTGTTCTTTCACCAGCTCCATAAAGCACTGCACGGACAGACAAACCTGCCGATAAATAACTCTCGATGGCTTCTACAGGCCATATGTGAGAAGGGCGTCCGAATGTCTGAGTGATATGAATTTTGCAGGAAAAGACGATGAACCACCTCCTCCAAAGTTCTGAACACTACGGGGTCGACCTCTGTATCAGCAGAGGCAGCAAAATGGATCAAACTGTCCCCACAGCCTCCACACGAAAGAGTAAATAATCCGGACCTGCATTTTCAGCCAGATCAGCCGAGACTCTCTGATTTCTGACTGTCTGCTGCTGTAAGAAGCCATTATTGTACTGTCTTGTCCTTAGTTACCGCGGAGAGAGCAAGACATGTACAATCGATCCACAGAGTCTGACATCGATCAACCAATAGGAATATTAAGACGCTGTGACATCATTGACTGACAGCCCCTTTATTAGCATAAGGACAAGGAAATACAGAAATAAATAGAGAAATAAATAAATATAGAAATTAATAGTTATGGAAATAAATTAATAAAATAAATTCATAGAAAAACAGAAAAATGTTAATAAAGAAACATAAATACAAAAAAAATAAATAAATACAAAAATTAGTGAGAAGGGTAAATTACTAAACAGACAAATAAATGCAGACATATTAATTTGTGTAAGATTTTAATTATTAATACATTAATTGTTATGTATATTTATTTATTTTTAGATTTATCATTCTACTTCATATATTAATTTACGTCATTTATTTAAGTCATATATTTTTAATTTTATTTATTTTTCATTTTGGCAAATCTGGTCCTCCATAAAAAATGGCGTCCTAAATAATTTTAAACAACAGGTTTTCTGACAGAGGACCAAAATGGACATAGGCTACATTTTAGGGCTCAGTTGTGTTTTAATCCTCAGTGAATACAATGCATTAAATGGCTGCTCTGCAGTGTTGTATTATTCACTAAGTACATTAAATCAATCAATTAATTTCTATTTCTATAGAGTGCCACAGTAAAGTCTGGTGAATTTTCAACACACAAAATATCTGTTCCTTTGACAAATGGTGAAAATGATGGTTTAGACAGAAATGAGAAACACAGTTTGACCAATATGCCAAAATGTCACTCAGAAATGACGCTTCTTTGGTTTTGCACCAGCGCTACGAGGCTAATGTAGCTCGCTAACAAGAAATGGAAGCTTATACCCCACCAATTAGCATTCAATGAACTGTCTGCCTTAAAGAGTCCATTTCACAGAAAAACAGATATCCTCACTTTTTTATACGAATGTGACGTTTCAAAAATGTACCGTTCACTCTCCAGTCCATGCAGTCAAAATATGGAAACTAAGCCGCAATAATAGCCTGTATTAAGTTCGTTGTTTTACGTCACACAAACCAACATGTTTACATATATCCGCCCGCTCCTCAGCCTACAGCAGTTTAGCCACGCCCACGCATACTTAAATTTTAAACACTATTTCAGTCCTGACTACTTTATAACTGAGACACAATACAGGGCAGCAAATCAGAGCAGAGCTCACTTACATATGTATCAGTCTTAAAAGCACAGTAACAAAAACAACCTGTTTAATTCTAAAGGATGAATAAAAGTTGAAAGATGAATTCTGACTGGTTTTGGTACATAACACCCAAACAAACATCATAAGTGGAGAAATACAACGTGCCTGAAAAATGTGGAATATGGGCCCTTAAATCATCACACATTTTCCTCAAACCATGTGGAGTTGTTAGGTAATGTCAAATAGATAGATACATAAGCATATCTAAAACATTAGTACCATCTTGAAGCCTGAATGTTGTCCTTGTTTACTGATCACAGTATATCATACAATGTCAGAAACCACATAAGCAAGTCTGTTTGTGATAACTGACAATTTAGGCATATGGGTGGATTTTAGCTTCCGTTAATTGTTAGCTACATCCGAATCATAGTTTTAGTGCCAAAAAAGAAGCAAACTTTAGACATCAAGCATGTCTTGGCTGATCGACTACATTTAGAGTAAAGGGCAAAGTTATTATAAAACTGGATTTTTGGCCAATCCATAACATGAATATTTCACACTGCTTTTTTCAAGCTCTCATTTCAGAGAGTTTCCAGCAGTTTTATTAAATTTAACATTCCTTTCTCCTCCCAGTCTGAGGTTTTCCAGGACAGGGATGCTGGGTTTCCTACCCTTTGACAGCTGGATCATGGGGATTGAAGCTAGGGTGCAACGGCGGCAGAAAAAAATCTGCCCTTCATTCTCCAGGACATCATCCAGAGCACTAAGAGACATCTTCCTGCCCTTCTGCTTGCGCAGAAACATAGACTTTACTGCCCGAGAAGGCCTGCGGCGTTGCCTTGGGGCTTGCAGGTAAGGCTGAGCCATTGGCCTATAGGAGGCACTGCTCTGGGCCTGCAAAGCGTCCATTAAACTCCTCAGGTCCAATCTCCAGTCTTTAGGAGTGATTAGAGGAGACTTTTCATCTCCAGCCGTCCCCCGACTCTTCTCCAATGCAGCTTTTGAAGCTAGAACAAACAATTTTTTTTGGGCAGTTTCCCGGTTTATCCACAGCTTCTTTGAGTGAGTATTGCTAATGCTAATAGTGTCTGGTTTTGGATTCTGGACCAGAAGAGAGCTTTCATATCCACTTTTGATCTCTATCTCACTCATAACTGTCTTGGATACGGCTTTGGAATCAGGAAGATGTTTCGGTTTTAGCTTTCTTTGGACAGTTTCTTGATTTTTCCACAGCCTTTTCGAGAGGGTTTTGTATGGAAAACGTTTTGTAAACACCTGACTGGTGTCTGTTTGTGGATTCTGGACAAGAGAAGAGCTTTCATCTCCCCTTTTTAGATCTTCCGTTGTCTTAATTTTCTCTGATGCAACTTTGGTTGTACCTTTTGAAACAGGATAGCGTTTTGGTCCCAGTAATCTCTGGATGGTTTCTCGATTCGTCCACAGCTCTTTTGAGAGAGTTTTGTATGGAAGCAGGTTTGTAAACGTGCTAGTGGTGTCTGATTTGAGTGAATTTTTACTGTGGAACAACTTCTGGCTGAGAGGTTTTGTGGTTGAAGGTCTAGACATTGAACGACACCTCTTCATGGCATGTAGTAGCAGCTTTTTTATCACCTGGTTGCCAGTATGATTAGCATAGTCCAATGCAGTTTGACCCATAAGGTCTTGAGCATTAAGGTCAAAGTCCAGAGCCTGAAGAAACATCTGGACAAGACCAAGACGCTGGTACAAAACTGCATAGATAAGAGCGGATCGTCCATAGCTGTCCGTCAACCCCACTTGACCTTTGTTCATCAGCAGCATCCTGGCCACACCCACAGCCCAGTCTTCTCCCTCATGGAGGCAGCAAAGCATCAGCGGTGTTCGACCTTCAGCATCACGTCCGTTCACGTCCACTCCAGATTCAACGAGCCGCCTTATCACTGAGAAATCTCCCTTTAGTAGTGCTTTATGGAGATCCATATTTAATTCTATGGTCATAGAAATCATATTAAATCATATAATTATATACAATTATATTTAATTCTACAACACTTTAATATTTAATCTCATTAATTCTATAAAAAGTAAAGCTAAACATAAAGCATATTTATAATATAAAAATACATTTTAATTCTATAACAATATAATTAATTCTGCAATAATTTGTAATAATCTTATATGTATATATAATTCTGTTATAATATTAAAGGGCAATTTCACAGATTTTTCTGTGCACAGATGCCCTTCAGAGAAATGTCAATGTGTATTCATAACCATTTCATCTAATAACTTTCTGTGAGGGAACTTTTAGAAGCATAAAAACTCTTCAGATCTTTGGTTTCTATCACCACTGCTGTGAACAATAGTCACTGGGTAAGTTTTTCTAGAACCAATGAATTATGCAGAAATTTTGTAAAATCAGTGTAATTTCCCTTTAAATATAATTAAAAATAGATTTGTACAGTGTTAACTAATTAATTAATGTTGTATGTTACTTCATATTTGTATTCACAATCATTGTAGCTGTCTTTGTGTTACTAAAAAGTGCCAAATATAAACTATTACTATATTGTTTATAATACCTAACACATTAAATACAATTTATATGCGCAGCATACAATCTAATGCAACAATCATATGTATACATCTATATTAATAAAGCATGTTTATGATAAATATAATAATTACAAGGATAATACATTGTATTTAAAGACCTTAAGGAGACACAGAGCAACAATTACAAAAAATCACAATTTAAAGGCAGCAATAAGTAAAAACAAACCTTTAGTTTCTAAAACTCTAGTACTAACAACATAAGTTTTAGTTTATGTAAGTTGAGTAGCCATTCAAAGAGAGACTGTAATGCTAGTGTACAAAGTATTTCACCTGCTCTGATTAATCTTCTTGGTGTCAGGTTGAGCTCTTCTTCTGATCTCTTATTCACTTACACATCCAACGATCACTCACACTGTAGAGTGGTGTGTTGTTGCTATAGGAGAGAACAGGGGAGTGGTGCAGGCCATAAATCTCTCATGCATACTTTGTGCCAAACCTCTACAGCAGCGGCTCACTGAAAAACCTAATACCCCCCCCACTTGCCCCAACTGTAGTCCATCAGCCAAACCAAAGTTTGTTTCTTAAGCTTTGCACTGGAGATACAAGGATGCTGTGGCTAATAAGTGATGGAAGCTTATACCCCACCAGTTAGCATCCTGCTAACTGTCCGCCTTAAAGGGTCCATGTCATGAAAATATTTATTTCTTCACTTTCTAAATGAAAGCACTTGATGCAGTATATAACCAGTGTTAAAGTTTCAAAATGTAATGTTTACTTCCCAGTCAATAAATGGACACTAAGCTGCAAAGAGTTTTGTGATGTCACAAAAAACAACATGTACATATCAGGGTTATTATAGCTAACTAAAGCTATTGCTAAAATAAAAACTAGCTGTGAAAAAATGTGCTTGTTAACTGTAATAAAAATAAAAATGACAGTTTTCAAAAACATGAAGACTAAATCAAAACCATGATGTCTACTGCAAAACTAAAAAGAAAAACTTTTAGTTTCTGTGTGTCCAGTGTGTTTTGAAGTGAATACCTTATATTTGGCTGTCTTTAAAAAAGCTGGTGCCAAACAGAACTCAGTCTGCTGCTGTGTTAACTTTACTGTACCCTTGTCAAATAGCTACTATAACAGCTTTCATCATAGTACTTAAAAACTAAAACTGAAACTAAATATAAACTGAAACTAGTACTATGTATGTACTAAAACTATACTATGTATGTTACTATGTTGCAGCCTGTTTACTTTTAAATGAGGCACAATACAGGACACCCATAAGAACAGATCTCATTTGCATATTCAGTCTTAAAGGTACAGTAACAAAAACAAGCTGTGCAATTCTAAAGCTCAAAGAGAGGTTGAAAACGGTCATGTAAAAATGAAATGAAGAGCTAAAGAGATGGCCTAACACAATAGGTTAACTATAAGCATAATTACAAAGTGACCAGGAATTAACCGATCACGTTTTACTTTTCCAATAGGAGGGACCAATTTCATGAGAAGAAAAGGTCACTCAGCCTTCTGAAGGTCCTAGATACATCACTGACTGAATACGAGTGGCAGACAAAGCAATGGGTAAGAAATGGAAAACAGCGGCAGCAGCTCTATACCAGCACTCTCTACTCAAAGACTCACTTTGAAACTGCTACGAGGTCAAATATATGCTAGTATGTCTGTCACAAGCTTCAAGTAAAACACGGAATGTCTTTTAGATGTTCAGCTTTAGCTTCAGATGTCTGTGTTTAATCTAGAACAACCTTAAACAGTGCAGAAATGACATTCTAGTGCCAACAAATTTTATGTTCCACCTTAAACCCTGCAGGAGTTACATTCGGGTGCCTAAATGTGCCAGGATGTAATTGCTGCACCGTTTAAGGTTGAATGAAAAATTCAAATAAAAAGCTAACTTCAGCCTTATCAGAAGGTGTTCATGTCAATTGCTGATGGCAATAACAAATTACTAAAATCCTTTGTGTTCTACCTAGTTTTGACATTTATGGCCCAAATTGAACAACTAGCTCTAATAGTCACGGTTCGCCACTGCCAATGACACTACTTTGATCTAATAAAGAAATTAAATAAAACAAGTATGGCTAGTCTTGGAACTTTTATTCAAAATTTCATACAAAGATTTAGCAACAATTTGCATAACTAGATGAAGAATCTTACACCTTCACAATTTCATGTTTATTGTTTACTGAAATATTTTCAGAAAAGAAAAGCAATGGTGGTTTATTACATGTCTGTTGCATGAAATGTGTACAGAACATTACTGTACGATGCTTAAACATTACATTATCCATTGGATTTAAAAGAACAGTGTAAATGCAACACACCTCTTGTAAAGGCACAACTGCACTTGGTTTTAAAGAGATAGTCTGGCAAAAAAAAATTCATTCGCTTAATTTACCCTTTACTTCAAATGTAGTTGGTCAGTCATGTTTAAAAAAGGACAAAAGTACACACAAAATTTAGGATTCAAGATCACTGCTGCTACTGTTAGCTATGCTCATTTACTTTCAGCCTTGTTTTATACATAACAGTATGTCATACAGTTTCTAAAATCACATAAGCAAGTCTATTTGAGATTACTCAACAACTCAACACGGTTTGAGGTAAGTGTGTGATGATTTAGGCACACAGTTTGCATGATAATTGCTGAACATGAAAACATAACTTATTAGCAACAGCTTCATAGCTCCAGTACAAAACTAAAGAAACAAACTTCAGACATTAAATATGTCAAAGCTGATGAACTTTTTTTGGAATGTTGTGTAAATTCCTTTTTTTTTTGCCAAACTATCACTTTAATACAGAAGTTATAAAAACATAGTAGTACTAACTCTTCTTCTACTTCTGCGTTTGTACGGGCTGGACACGCAGCACCTCCGCAAATCCATCCCCAAACCAGCAGGTAATGTCAGCCGTGTCCAGAGAGAAGTAGAATAGTCGATCACTGCAGCATGTTCTCCGGTACACTGACCGCGGATCAGCCGATAAAATACCGTCAACAGCCTCCACAGCATCATCTGGGCCTTTCAGGAACTGAAACTTTGGCCTTCCTGTGTCTGAATGAACACAAAACATCACAGTATGAAGACCAGAGCTATTCCTCAGCTAGATTTTACTGTTTCAGTGTTTTTGAAAACTCCTCATTCCATCACTGAGGGCTGCAGCTAATGATTACTTCAATAATGGATGAATCTATCAACGTATTCAATGAATCACCTAATTTAAATATTCTGCCTTCCTCAGTTCCTCTCCCTTTACTTCTTTCCCCATTTAAATGTCTGTCTGTGCAAAAACTGTTTTTTTGTTTTATGGCACAGCAAAACAATAGTCCATATTGCCCCCTACACTTCCAAACTGCATCGCATACTGGCTGTAACCAAAACTGAAGGCAGTCTCGATGCCTTGCTGCCTGTGCTGTCTCATAAGTCAGTGCCTTTGAGGGCAGCGTTGTGATGAAGGTACCTGCAACTGAACTGCATTTGAGACGCGCTCCGAAGGCAGCGACACATCATGTCATTGCCAGGATGTGACAGCTCACTGCTAGCTGTTCGCATTAGACATCAGCATCTTTTACGCAGCAAAAAGTCTTTTAAGAAGGCTAGCATACTCAACTTTTTATAACCATACAGAAACCAGTCTCTCTCCTCCACTGTGTCAGCACTGGTGTTTTCTTTTTAATTGAATTAATAGAAGCCATATCATCCCCTACACTTCCTGTAGTGTATTACAATCTGTCAGAATAGCTGTGTGGATCATATGAACATTACAGAGCATTATAGAGTGCTCTTTAAAAGTAAATTATGCATCAACAGAAAAAAAAACATGTAGACCTTTTTGTTTTTAAAAACAACATTATTAAATCAACTGTCACTACAGCTGTTTTTTTCAATGACAAAAATTACTGTAAGGTATAACAGCAGAACTATTTGGAATCCATTACTTTGAGTAATGTCTGTTATTTAAGTACATTCACACAAGCGCTATTTGTCGATCTTTGTGATTGCACTCTGCTCATTTCATAATCATTTTCCTTTTTCATTTTGTTTTTTTTACCACTTTCTTGTGTATTTTCAATTTATTATTTGACTCATATAACTAATGCCATAAAACATCCATATTTATTGAAACATTGATATTTATTTATCTACGTTATCATACTATAACAAAGTCAAAATGCAACACTATTTAAAGGGCGCATATAATGGAAAACCACATTTTCTTTGCTTTTGTGAAGTAAAAGAGTTTGATGCAGTGTGCAATCCTTGTTCAAATTTCAAAGCATACCATTCCTTCCCCGAGTCCATATGGAAACTAAGCTGCAAAACAGCCCATTTTTTAAATTTAGTGTTTCTTTTATGTCACAAAAACCAACACATCTACATATATATAGCCATTTAGTCTACAGCATTTTAGCACTGGCCATTCACAACTATAGTTATTAGAAGGGTTTCAGCTTGGACTGCTCTTTGAATAAGGCGCATTGCAGGACAGCCAATAAGAACAGAGCCCATTTACATATACCAGTCTTCAAGGAACAGTAACAAAAACAGCCTGTTTAATTCCAAGGGTTGAAAAAAGAGGTTGGAAAATGTTAATGTAAAAATGAATTACGACTTTTTCATGACATCATAAGTTATGACATCATAAGTGGACCTCAGATGAAAGAATTAAAAACAAAAATATATGATATGCTTTTAAGGTAAACTAGTTTTCCATGAAATCACTGCTGAGAACTTCATAGAATTAAATAAATTTAAACATTGCTCCCACATTGTTGACACCCATGAAAAAAATAGTATTTCAGTTGTAGTATAGTATTAGGACACACAATCCTTTGTGTGATTGTGTGTGTTTGAGAGAGAGAGACAGAGACAGAGAGAGAGAGAAGGATACCTTTGCTCTCCGGAGGCTGAAACTCTCTGAGCTCTTTCTCAGCAGTTGGTGTGAATCTGACACTCAGCTTGGCCACTGGCGGATTTCTAATCCAGGCAGCAATGCTGCTATAGGAATCTGCTCCGTAACACAGCCTGAACACAATAACAATGACATCACAATCTACACTCTGTCTAGACAGCTCTTCTAATGAGTTTAGCAAGCTGCTTTAAGGTGTACCTATTGTTGACACAGGTGATGGAGATTATGTCCTGTCGTATTGACTACTTTTATTAAATACGTTATTTGACTGTTAGATTGTATTTTGATTTTTTTGGTTTGTTTGACCTATATTTGAGCTAGTCACAGCAAGCTCAGCTACCTAGCTATAGGTAGCTGAGTTGATTTGAGCTGCTGGTTTGAGAAACTTGTCAACCACAGGTCAAAATGTCCCTTTTTGGGTAAACAGGAGATTCCTTAGGCAACTTTGGGACAGGCAAAAAGGTTACTGGCTTAGGCACCATGGTCCAATGGATGAAGAACTGGCATAACAGGGGTTAATTATGGGGGCACATGCAGTTAAGCCGTAGCTCGGATCAAGATGAATGGCGAGAGTAAGGCCGTATAAGAGAACACTTAGGACTTTCTGAGCAAAGTGTGAGTTATGCACTGGTCTTTTGAAGCTTTATTCATTTATCTTTTCCTTTTATTTTGAATCTGTTCATCCCTTTTAAACATTTGACTAAAGATTTATTTGAGATACTTATTATTTCTTTTCAGATTTATAAAAACTGTTTTTGTCTGGATAAATCTGGCAAAGGCTTCTTTGGACTGCTTTGATTTATTTTCTGGACAGCAAAGATTCTTACACAGGAGTTCAGTTGTGCACACACAACTTGCATAATCTCCGTAGAAAAGCACTGGTAATAGAACAGGAAAATAAAGAAAAAAGAACTTGTCAGACATCAGAACTAGTCAGATATGGAAGTTTTTTTTTAAATGAATGTCTAAGGAGAAACATGTTTGGCATTATGCACCAGGAATTATACTGTTGGGCCATGATTGCTTGAGTGCACCATTCCGCCCACCTGGTACACCTCTCAGACCTACCTTGAAGTGCTTTCTCTCTCAGGTTCAGGTTCGGTGGGCCTCCTATCAGCCAAAGTCTCAACACACAGCTCCCCCTGCTGGAGGTACTCTCTCACCTCTGCTAGCACTTTGCTAAAGGCACTGTCAGAATGCTCTGACAGACTGCCCGAAGCAGAAAACTTCATTTTTGGGTCAAGCTCTGATGATGAATCCCCCAAGCACTGCAGCCCCTCAGGCTCTGCTTCTGTTTCTGAGTCCACAGAGTCTTCTGTCTGCTCATACTGAACATTCATGTTTGTTTGTGTTGATGGAGAGTCATAGTCTGGGATGTAAGGTTTAATATCCAGCACCGGAGTCCCAGCGATCAGGTCCACACCGGACAGGTGGAGGGTGTCACCTGTAACACAGCAGAACACATATTAGTTAAATTTACTTAAAAGAATGTATCCAGTTTCCCCTTTACTCCAAATGTAGCAACTCAGCTAAGACATCTGACGTTTGTTTCTTTAATTTTAAACTGGAGCCATAAGGCTAATATAGCTAACAAGCAATAGAAGCTTATACCCAAACAATTAACATCTGTCATTGTATGACAGACTGTTGTTGTATGAAACCTGAGCTCTATCTAGGGCTGAAATAATGTGCAATTTTGAAAAATCGATAAACCAGGACAAAATGATCAATAAATATAAGTATTTTCATTATTTACAACTACAGGTTTATTATAGTTAAATAGTCAGTATATCCAGGACAGTTTCCATTTGTGCCTGAGGGGGGGCAACAAAGGGCCTTAAGGCCTTTTCATAACAAGTCCAAGTTTTACAGCTGCATGCAAAGTTTTAAAGTATCTTATCAGAGATCAGTCTTTCACAAAGACTAGTTTTTCCTAATTACAAACAAAACAATTTAATATAAGTGAGCATTATAAGCTAGAGGAGTTTGCTAGAAGGAAAACATGAACTGGAAAAGGCTTTGTGATAGGACAAAGAAAAACCAGTCACACCGCATATACCAGCAACGCAACACAAAAACACGAGGAAAGAGCAGCTGTAGTGATTTCATAAAAAGGAGCTGTTCTGCCACACTCTGGATGGTGAGCCTGCAGAGAGACTCCATTTTACACAATAGAACTATTCAGGAAAACACAGCCACAGGCGATTAGTACAGTACAGTCTGTAATTAATCAGACAGTGACACACTTTCACTGTTTTGGCTCTGAACTCTCACACATTAGATTTGAAATGAAATGAAACCATAATATGCAGAATGTTCATCTTTACGAGCATTTACATCTATACTGGGTGACCTGGGTGAACCACACAGGAATCACAGTTCCTTTAAACGGCCCATATAGTACATTGGTCTTGCATTCTATTTTTCCTTGTTTGTGTGGGTTTATTTACCAATTCATGTTTACATGACCATCCCTTAGAATTAAACTGGCTGGTTTTGTTGCTTTGCCTTTAAGACTAATATATGTAAATAAACTCTGTTCTAAATGGCTGCCTGTATTGTGCCTCATTCAAAAATGATCCTACATTTTTCTTTTTAAATTTTTTTTTCATTTAATTATTTGCATTTTAACATTAACTGCTAGATACTGAAAGCAGAGGGGCGGCCACAAGTCATTTGGGCTTACCCAGATTGATCACTGGCCTACTCAATCAAATGGGGGAAAATATTTATTAGTTTTTTAAGATAATGAAATTTGATTTGTGTTCCCTGTGCATTGTTGCTATATTTTAGCCAAAATCAAAATCACTATGCAGCATTCCCTCCTCCAATCACTGCTTAACAACCGTTGCAATCCGCCGCCGCCTCAAGTCATGTCCATACAGTGTGAGGACACTAAGGTCAAAGTGACTTTGTGACTTCTTCAGATGTACAGGTATGCAGCACACATACTATAGGCTAACATACAAAATAGCTATGATATAAATGTGAACGTTTCTGAGAGTAATTAACAGATTACGCTTGTAAAACTCAAATCCCATGATTTGTTTTTTGGAACACTCGTAACACTGCTAGTTCAGTCAGCGAACTTTAGTCTAGCTCCAGTAGCTGCTCACTTTAGGCCAAAGTGAAAAGCTCCTTAGCTACCTATATTAACGATCGAATGAGAAAATAATGGTAGTTCAAAGTTACCAAAACTACAATGAGCATGAGAAAGTTCATAATTACCTTGTTTATTGATGCTATGCTATCATTCAACTACATATCTATTAAATGCAACTGAACTTGAGTGTGAAAGATTCTATTAAGTCTAATCCTCACCCTAACTTTAAAACTAAATGTACTCCTAAACTTTGCCCTAATGGTGCTGATAATCAACTATCACCAGAAAGTTTGTTAATAAATTATGTATCTGTAGATCATCTATAAGGGACAATCAAAGTAAAGTGTGACCATATTTTTAATGTATGCTTTTACAGTAATCAGTGAGGACCAATAAGCAAGAGAGAAAAAGAGACAAGCAGAGAGACAGAGCAAGGTAAATGAAATAAAATCAGTGTAAATGCTTCACCTGATCTAATATAGGCTTCAACATGCATTTTCAGCTGTATTTTACTTAGAAAATGTCTTTCATGCTGTAGTGTACGATGGTTACGTTTAGGTTTTTAAGTTTGCTGTGCTGTTTTTCCTCGTCTTTGTACATCACAGCTGTCTTGTTTAATAACGATTATCTCATCTTCTTTGGGCACAAGTTGTACCTGTGGTGAGCAGATGCATGCTTTATAGTGAAGGGAAGTGTTGGTTGGGTTTATGTGAATTCAGCATTCTGGTTCATGTCAGTTGACAGTGTTGTTAGTGTTTTGTATCACGGTGGAAGCATTGAAAAAGGTATAATAGTGACTTCACTGCTGCCATCAATAGGCTAAAGACTGATGTAATGACACTGTGGTTTGGCCTACCCACTTTTTCCCAGGCCTACCCAAAAAATTACTTCTGTCTGCGCCAATGGCTGAAACAACAAGACTGAATTGTTGTAGGAATGGCAGTCATATAGAAATGCATTCATGGTTGTGACATCATAGCCATGATGACTTCCAAAGGGCTGTTTTTGTAGACTGGTTTTAGTTTAGCTTAATTTTTATGGACTGAGGAATAAAAGGTATGTTTTGACACTTAAACAATGTTTCCACAGTATATCAAACTCTTATATCAATTTTTTCTGAAAGTCAGAGTTTTCCATGATATGACTCTTTTATAATAAACTACCATGGGGAAGAAAAGGGCCCTGACCTGTGATGCTCTCCAGCTTGGCAAGAGAGAGGCCGATGGCATTGGGTCGATGGGGGCTGCGGGTGGAGTACACTCCCACCTTTTGACCGTTCAGCCGAGGAGGCTTCACCTTGGCTTTGTAGCTCATGTGGCCGTTCTTATGGAAAAGGAAAATTAGCCTGTGAAGGAAAAAGAGCAACAAATATACATCATTAGCACACTGGCCTTTGTATCTATGCTAGACCACACAAATTTACGCTGACAGGCCACTTCATTAAGTACACAACCTTGTATCTGCACTAATTATCCATTTTATCAGCTCCACTTACCATATAACCATTTGCAGCTATACAATTACAGACTGTAGTCCATCTGTTTCTCAGCATAATTCATTAGCCCCTTTCACCCTGTTCTTCAGACACAGACAATGTTTTTAAACATTGTGTCCGCCTACTGTCAACTCAATTAGGCACACCCACCTTGTTGGCCCATCTTGTATCTGTAAAGTCAGAGACGATAGCTCATCTGTTGCTGCACAGTTTGTGTTAGTCATCCTCTTGTCCTTCATCTGTGGTCACAGGACACTGCCCACAGGACACGATCGGCTAGATATATTTGATTGTTAGACTATTCTCAGTCCAGCAGTGACACTGAGGTGTTAAAAACTCCAGCAGCACTGCTGTGTCTGATCCACTCAGACCAGCGCAACACACACTAACACACCACCACCACGTCAGTGTCACTGCAGTGCTGAGAATGATTCACCACCCAAATAATACCTGAGGATTACCATTGAAAAGTAAAAGCGGGCAAATTAAGGAAATGTATGTAAATGGACTTGATAAAATGGACAATGAGTCAAGATACAAACAGCCTTGCTTACATGGTTTCTGAGATTGTTTGACATACTGTTATCTATAAAAATGGACAAAAGTACAGGCCTGCAGATGGCCACTGCAACTGTTTGTACTTTGATCCATGTTTACAAATAACAGTATGTCACACTGCATCAGAAACCATATAATCAAGTCTGTTTGAGATTAATTAACAACTCGATACAGTCTGGGATGAACGTGAGATGACCAAACATGTTTTGGCCGACTGACTACAGTTGGGGTAAGGGGGAAAACTGCCGCTTTAACAGTCATGGTATGATACACACCAGACGTGGGAGTAGTGTTCCAGGCCAGCCAGTGCGTGGTCAGGGTTATTGAAGACTGATGGCTGGATCTGCAGACTGGCACGGGATGACATGCAGATCGCAGGCTGTCGGGGGGTTCCGTTCTTCTTGGAAAAGCATGAACTGATGTAGCCAATGGGGACAGTCTGAATATGACCTGAGATGGAAAAAAAGATGCTATGAGTAAAAGTTAACAACTTTGGAACTTTACAGTGCAAGTTATGACCCGTTCAAGGGCAGGACCTCAGACAGCTGGTTAGGGGTGCAAGGTTTTAACAATGAAAAAATCTATGATCTCAAAAAGATTCAATTTGATTATGATTCTTTAAGGAATGATTCAGTTCATTGTGAAATCTCAAATTTCACCATTATTCAATTATTTTGGTACAATATTTTAAAAAATAAATTAAGACATAAATGTACCTGGAGGAACTATTTACAAAGTTGTGCAATAAACACCATAAACCAATATACAACATATCATTTTTTCTTATGTCTGTATACCACTACCAGAATATATAAAACAGATGTATGAAAACAGCCAAGGAATTTTATTTTAGCCAAAAAATAAGCACAAAACGAAAGCAGTTGAATCGCAACTTTAACTAAATTAAATTTTTACTCATATTACACACTAATTTACACTATATGTACAAAAGTGTGTAGACACCTGCTTATCCAGCATTTCTTCTGACATTAAGGGTATTAATACGGAGTTTGTCCCCCTTTGCTGCAGTAACAACCTCTGCTCTTCTGTGAAGGCTTTATACTAGATGTTGGAACATGAGCTGTGAGTCAGTACTGACGTTAGTTGATTCTTTATATCACAAATGCAAGTCATCCCAAAGACATTGAACGGAGCTCTATCACTCCAAAGAACACAGTTTAACTGCTTCAAAGCCCAAAGCTAGGGGGGCTTTATACACTTCTAGCCGACGCCTGGCACTGGGCATGGTGGTTTTTGGCTTTTATGTGCGTGTTCCACAGCCTCACATTCTTGTTGTGTGTGCACACAGCCACTGTATTATAATGGACTCTCATGCATTTTACACCCCTAGATGTTACCGTTCCTGTTCCTCACCTTTCTCTAATGAGAACTCTGCCCCTTGTTGTAGATCCTTTTCTGCTGTCTTCTTCACCTTATGTTTCCCCTGCCTCCAGGCACCCAGCTCAGACTGCAGGGAGGCCATGTGCTTTCTGTGGGCCCGAACAGCACTCTCTAAATGCTGCCTGTGGAAATACAACATGGAACAGCTGCTGCAGGGAAGACCATGGGACAATTCTAGTCTGTGCATTATGAAGATGATATTGTTGGTTTGCGTTATTTTCCCCACCCACTGGTGCAAACTGACATAATAAAAAATCAGAAGACGTTTTAGAGGATCTTGATCGTGGAGATCTACCACCCTGGAGGTTGCAGATCCATCTCGAATACTGGGCTTGTTTGAGATGAACTGTGCCCTGGCAGCAAGCAAGAGTAGCCAGTTGCAGTTGGGAAGAGAGCTGTCAAGCTGTACAGTTTTACCTGCAGCTTCTCCATCTTAGCCGGCAGCTCTCATTGCGATACATTTCTTTAAGGATTTGGAAATTTAACTGAAAGAAATTTAATAATAAATAATAATCACAAACATTACACATTTAAATGGATCAGGTGTGTTAGATTACAGTTAAAGCTAAACAGGGTGTTAGATCTCCAGAACCGGGATTGGGCACTCCTGTTTCAGAGGCTGGCAAGTTATTAAGTTTTGATGGAAGATTACAGGAAACAAGAATGTTGTCTTTGAAATGATATCACTGTTGTCTCCATTTCTTTTTCTCGTTTTTCAGTTTTTGGCATAATTTGAAAATGCCTCTTGTCCTTTTACATTGTGTAAATTTCATGATGACTGGACCAAATGAAATAGCCCAAAATTACTCAAAAAAGTCTGGTTATACTGACTTACATTAAAAGTAAAGTATGTTTTTTCCTTCTCCTGTAAAGTTACCATTTTGGAGATTGATAACGAGGTTTTGTTCCGACAGCAGCGATATGATGAATTGTGCTTAATAAGACCAGAGACTAACAAGGTAAAAAAGGTCAGATTTGACTCCAGGTTTTGACTCAAGAGTTTAAAGATATATTTAAAAAATAAAATTACATTTTGTCATTTGTAATTGATGTTCTTGTGTATTAATAACAGCACTGTTGCAAAGTGTTAAATGCTGTGTACACTTACTGTCTTAAACCAATCAGCCACTTTCTTAAACGTACCTACCATACAGATGTTCAGTTAAAGACTTTTGCTGCATTTAAGTACTTGTCTGAAGGTTGTACATATCAACTGCTTAACTAGTAAGTACGACTTCACTCCATCAGGTGCTTGTTGAAAGATACACCCATCACACAGGGAAAGAAAGCAAGGAATGCATCAGATATCCTTTTTTCCCCATTCACCATCAAATTTATCATTTTTTGCAAGATGATGAAAGGTTAAACATCTCATGAACTCGTGGATCATCTGGAATCCCCAGATTCCACATTTAAATACATAAATACTACTTTGTTGATTAATTACAATTTCCAAGTAGGAAAAGCTTCTGACACCACTCAAACACAGCTTCCCAGCTTTGGACACCACTCAAACACATGCTGTCTCTTTTCTCATATGCAATTTGTTTCAGTCATCTTGTACCCCGGTGGATTTCAACTCCAGTCCTGAGGATTCACTGACCTGCAAAAAGCTTCATAATTACCTGACGAGCTGGATCAAGTGTTGGGGCAGGGAATAGTCAAAACTGTGCAGGGTTGAAAACCACTGCTCTAACCTACAGGTCCTAGAGTACTCCTAATCCTGCACATTTTTGTGTGTTTCAACTTTATCACATGCACTTCTACTTGGGAATAGCTTGTTAATGAACTGGGCTGGGTTTCCCAAAAGCATCTTAGCACAAGGAAGGTTGTTAAATGGTTGACCATCTCTACCAGTTAAGATAAACATAGAGTGGAATTCCACCAGTTTTTAAAAATTGCTGCATAATTCAGTCGTTGAGATGTAAACAAAGTGATTGAGAATGGTTTGATGTAAAATGCTTTGTTCTGGAGAAACTTAGATCAACTCAGATTCCTTTACAATGACGGTAATAGGAACCAGGGGTGTCTACAATACAAATACAGCCTTCATATTTACTTATTGATTTTTATTTATCCAAACAACCTTTGAACCTACATGTGTCTTCCAAGTTTATTAGTATATGTAATTTTGGTAATGGTAAAATCTGAAAAAAAGGTTTTCTCTGGGGACTATTATAACGCAGTAACGCTTTCATGTAAAGACTTTGTTTGAGGGTGATTTTAGTAGTATTACAAAATCTGTGTAATTCTCCTGTTAACTTTAATTAACTTAAATCTCCTTTTTTGGGAAACTGGGCCCAGATGTGGTGGAAGCAGAGAAAACAGGCACGAAAAACAAGGGGTGATCTAGGACAGGGGTTGGAAATTCATTGCTCTAATCCTTCATCAATGGTCAGTTTCTGAAAACCGTTGACTGGCTGAATATTTTTGAGTGGTGGACCAGGTGGACCACTTTCAGCCTACACATCAGCACCACTGTGCCGGTTGCTCTCATACCAGTGCTACGACCATGTCACTGTCACTGCTGTGCTGAGAATGGGCCACCACAGCGGCCACGCCATCAGAAACTTGCCCTTAATGGACTGGTCAGAGGAGTGGGCTGATAAATTATACTGCAACAGACGGGCTACAGTCTGTAACTACAGACCTATATAGTGTACAAGGCAGGTATTTCTGATAAAATGGCCAGTGAATGTTAGTATTTCATGGGGTTGTTTCTGTTATTTTGTCCACCCTCTGTGCGTATGTGTGTGTGTAAATGTAGCTACATTCCCTACCTGAGGTTCTTTATCTCTTTCCTCATCACTGTAACCTGCTGGCTGAGTTTGTGGATCTGCTCGTTACAGCTGCATGGAGCCATTAGACGGCTTTAACGATGAGAGATTTAACTGTGAGCTTTTAAAAGTAAAGTATTTTAAATATAAAGTGTGGGAGACGTCTAAACTGAAACCTGGAATCCTCGCTGTGTCCTCTCCACTGCGCATGCGCAGCGCGGCCACGTGCTGATGGACTCAAATTTGTTGGACAACCAAAAACTTGCACATGGTGATTTGGACTTACAGTTCAACTAAACTGCACATTTTACAATTTTTACTGCTTAACACACCTGATTCAACTAAAATGGCCCACTAACAAACCCTTCACGAGGTTAAAATTAGGATGATAGGAGGTGAAAACTGTAAAATGTCAATATTTTCAGTGTTAATATAGTAAAACACTGATAAAAATAGATGACGTTCTTTTTTTTGATTCCATATCCACCAACATTAGCATATAACATAGCACAACGTTAATGTTTTTAAAAAATGACATATATATGATGTAGAACATGCTCTCGATGCTGGCATCTTTATAATATATACATTAAATACATATTGAAACTTTCTTTACACTTTAAGTCTAAATGGAGTATAAAGTCTTTAAAAGGCTGACATTTTTCAAAAAAATCACCTAGCTCAGCTTGTATATAAGTATACAGTAAAAGAATAAAAGAGGTAAAGACATGAGAGATATGATGGAATGGTGGAAAGGTTCATTCAGGTAGATAGAACTTTTTTTTACCATGCATGCAAAGGCTTCATTGAGTGGTTATGGTTTTATATAGCACCATTATTTTTACTAAGGAACCTTTGAAGGACCATCTTTTTTAAGATGTACCTTTTTAAAGGGACTTCATGACGCATGCATAAGCATTGAATAGCATATTCAAAGTATTTATGAACAGCATGTCAGTTTTGCAAGATGACATTAGATATGTATGAAATAAACAACACTGTTTAAACCTTAGGGGCTTTAAACTAAAAGGGCAGACATTTGTTTTAGAATGTGTTGCTCTTAAACAGGCTTCTATCTTATGAGTTAAGTTACATGAGTATAATACTTCATAAGTGTTATGAATTAAGTTAGTTTAAGGCCTCTTAACAGTGTCATAGTCAAAACCCAGACCTGGACACATCTAGTCTAAGTCAAGACCAAGACACTGTAGAGACACTGTAGAGTCCAAGAGTGGTTGAGTCCAAGACTGAGATCAGAAGTGGCTGAGACAAGACAGAGACCAAGAGTCCAACTTTAGTCTAACGTTGCACTGTATCTTTTGGAAGCAAATGATAGTTAATGTCTGTCCCTTCTTCTCTAAAACTTTGTTAGAATCACCACCTAAAGTCAATTAAATATAAACCAAACAACAAGCATTTTTATTATTAAATGAAAAGTAGTAATAATAATATTCAGATTTATTCAGATATTTGAATTTTGAAACCAATGAACATCAACAAATAATGCAAGTTAAGCCATCTAGGAAAGGATTAATTATACTCAACCAGATTTTATTTAAACTTGTAGAGAATGGACATTTTATTCTGTTCAAAGGTGTTGTTGATATTCAATAACGCTAGAAATAAAACATTCAGTTTCCAATGACCTCAGGCAGAGAGTGGTTTTGAGAACAATTTCCTTGTCCAAGACAAGACCAAGTCAAAATGATGTTGAGGCTGAGACAAGATATCCAGACTATTAATTTACTGTCTCAAGACTTAGATTGGACTCGAGTTCTCCAACACCACCTCCTAAGTCAGTACTTTGTACTTCATAAAAACTCACAAGTTGTTATTAAATACTCAAGTATTGTATATTTTCTATATGTTATTTACTTCTCGTGCATGTGTTATGAAGACCCTCTGTAGGTAAATCCCTATTCACATAATGTGTTACCTTGTGTAAATCACTATCTCAGCAAACAACAGAGCTAGAAAGTTTAACTTTTATTTAAAATTGTTCATTCTGTTGAAAAAAAATCTTCAGGCTCAATAAAACACAATTTGTCACATTGCAATTGACAAAAACAGAGCACATGAATAAATATACATTTGTTCTTGATTGAGATCACAAATAGAAACTCTCGCCTGAGTGAGGCCTTCGTATACAAACTTGAAATTATAAAGGTTAACCAGTCAAATACAAAGCCAGACTGTTAATAGTGATAATGCTGCTCATTTACAGCAGGGCTCCAAGCAGATAATCTTATGGGGCCGGGGCGGCGGGTGGGGTGATCGGTGTGGCTATGATGGGCTCAGAAAATACTTTGGTCTGTTCAGTAAGATCAGCTGGAGGGTCCTCAATAGCACCTGCAAAACAATATTGATACAGTGTACTATAACAGTGCTGTAAAAATACATCATCCTAATGGTGACTACACCATACTTCAAAAAGTAAAGTATGCACTTATTTTGTGGCCATTTTCAAACGTAAAAATCAAAATCAATAGCTTGGTATATTACTTTTATTGTTGGCATTTCACTACTGTGTTAATTAGTTTGTCTAGTTACATTTGCATATTCAGTATATTTTTAAAGGGCCCATCTCCTGCATTTTCCCTTGAGGTGCACTAATACCATTTGTGTGGTTTTATGTGCCAGAAATGGTCATAATTCATTTTTACATAGCCAACATGAACGGGTGGGGCTAAAGTGCTGTAGGCTGTATAGGTAGATTTATGGAAATGTGTTGGTTCTCCAAAAATCATAGAAACAGTGCTTTATTGCAGCATAGTTTCTATATATGGGCTGTATGGACTGGGGAGTCAATGGTACATTTTGAAATATTGTTTAAATATTACTTCATACTCCTTTATTCAAAAAAGTGACAGAAATATTGTTTTCCATGAAATGGGCCCTTTAAATATAATTCTGAATCGTACCAAAAAAATCTAATTCTGATGAAATTTTAGAGTTCATGATGCACTGAATGGTTTCATGACTTATACCACTATTATGTCTGAATTCTTTATGTCTGGTCTTGGATTAAATTATTCTATCCATATGCGTTATCGTCCACTTTTTTTTTAGAAACCCTTACTGTGTGCTTCCACTCAATGGCCACTTCATTACAAACCCCAATGCTGAGCTTCCACTCACTTTATGAGCTAATCTACCTTATAGCTCCACTATATACGTGTACAATTAAAGACTATAGTCTATCTGGCTATAATGGGGCCCACTCTGCCCCATTCATCATTTGTCAGTGTCTGACCACAGAACTGCTGTGGACCCAGTACTAACATGGTAGTAGTGTGTGTGGTGCTGGTATGAGTTGCTCAGGCACAGCAGTGTTGCTGGAATTTTTACATGTCAGTATCACAGCTATCCAAAAATATCCTGCTATGAGAGGCTCTGTGGTCAGAAACTGACCACCAATGATGCACTAGAGGATGGCCAATAGAAACTGTGCATCAACAAATTAGGCTACAGTCTGACTGTAATCCAGCAAGGTGGAGCTACAAGGGAGGGGATTCTGATAAAATGGCCAGGGAGTGTAGGCTTTATCTGTGTCTAGAAAAATGTGCACGTATGTATTAAAAAAAAACCCACGAAAACTAGCAACGTTTGTACAATGTGGTAGTCAAGAGGATTCTGCAGTTTTAGTTTCTGGTTTAGTTATATAAATGTGTTGATTTAGCTGCACTTAGTGGTGATAACTAGTTACACAGTTGGTTAAAGAAAGCATGTATGTTGCAAAATTAGCATTTGGCTACTTAATAATATCATAATTCACATCACACAGTGACCTTCAGGGAAACAATGTACAGAGGATAAAACATATCAGTTTTGGGATGATTTTGTTCACCACAGGATGCAAAAACACTATTCACTTTTCCTACAAAACCTTAGACTTAGACTTGTAGACTTATTTAAGCACGTCTCTGACTACAGAATGATGGCACATAGTCAGAGGTAAATACCAGATCACTATTGATTTGTTACACAGGCCTAGTTGTAAAAATGGGTCATTTAAAAACCTTGATCAATGACGAGCCTCTCCTGAGATGCTAGTTTGTCTTCTTCCTCGTCAGGCCCCAAATCTTCAATCAGAACCCCAGCAGTTTTATCACTGGGCACTTCCTCTGGAGCCAGGATGGTCAGTGGTTCAGCAGGCTGAGTGATCACTTCTGGGGCAGTTTCAGGCACGGATATTGTCAGAGGAACAGGAACTGAGACAGGAATTGGTGCAGGTAGAGGAATTGGGGCTGAAGGTGTCTCCTCCGGTGCAATGAGTATCTCCGGCTGTTCTGCGGTTTGGAGCTCAGTCTGGTCGGGTTGAGGCTCTGTAGCAATGACATTTTTCCTCGGCCGGCCTTTCTTCCCGGGTGTGCTGCTGGGCTCCTTCCTCACTCTCTTCCTGCTCTGGGCCCTGTGGGGTTTTAGAAAAGAAGTTTTAGGGGCCACAACCATTATCCAATATCTTTTTATCCCTAATAATTTTAAAAAATGTTGTTACTGTTCATTTGACTGACATGTAAATGACCTTTGTTCTGACTTGCTGTTCTGTATTGTGCCACATTCAAAAAGCAGTCCAGGCATTTAATATTTGCTGATACAATACTCTGCATCACTTCAACATGAATGGGCGAGGCTAAACTGCTGTATGCTTAATGGACAGGACTAATCTTCTGCAAACTGAATGGACAGGGCTAAACTTCTGTAGACTGAATGGACAGGGCTAAACTTCTGTAGACTGAATGGACAGGGCTAGACTGCTGTAGACTGAGTGGGCAGGGCTAAACTTCTGTAGACTGAATGGACAGGGCTAGACTGCTGTAGACTGAGTGGGCAGGGCTCAACTTCTCAAGAATTAATGGACAGGGCTAAACGTCCGTTGACAGAATGGACAAAGTTAAACTGCTGTTGACTGAATGTGTGAAGCTAAACTAGTTTAGGCTAAATGGGTAGGGCTAAACAGCTGTAGGCTGAAAGGGTGAGGCTAAACCGCCATAAACTGAATGGGTGGAGCTAAACTATTTTAAACTACATGGGTGGGGCATAACTGCTGTAGGCTGAATGCATGGGGGCAAACTTCTATAAGCTGACTAGGCAGGGGACTAAAATGCTATTGGTTTAATGAGACTTAAACTGCTGTAGATTGAATGGGCAGGGCTAACCTGCTGTAGGCTGAGTGGACAGGGTCAAACCGCTATAAGCTGAACTAGCAGGGCTAAACAACTGTAGGGTAAATGGGTAGGGCTAGACTGCAATAAGCTGGACTGGCAAAGGTAGACTGCTGTAAGCTGAAATTATAAGCAGTCTTGTGTACATCTGAATGAAAAACAGACTAACTGTGAAAATTGTAGTTCTATTATTGGAAAATGCATACACCTAAAACACAAAGCTAAACTGTCATAACAATCAAATGATCTGGTACAAATCACTGCTTAGTCTAGCATCAGCACTAAATTACCCAAAAACCCCTACATTAACACTAACTTTACCCATAAATCCTGCATCAGCACTAGCTTTACCCATAAACCCACTGGTTAGTTGCCTTCTCCTCTGCCTC